ATTTTAAGAAAGAGAGAAGCGAAAACTTATAAATTGCGAGCAATTAAATAAGAAAAAATTTATTTCGAAATAAAATGAAATACACTAACCTTTATTTATGTTTATCACATAAGATTTAAGTTATGTTCACAATCACAACACTTGAAAATTTTTAATTATTTTTGTGGTTCAAATAATTATTAATAATTTATTTATTTAACAAAATTTAAGTAATGCACGCTTGTTAAATATTTCTAATGCGTTGTCAATTAATGCAATTAATAATTTCCTATTACACAATATCATAATCGACATATATGACATTTGTAAACAAAAAGGGTTGGGAAACAAGAGCCCAAAATATGTTCGTCCAAAGCAGAGTTGGGTAGGATTAAAATTTGCTTTGGACGAATATATTTTGGGCTCTTGTTTCCCAACCCTGTTTGTTTACAAATGTCATATATGTCGATTATGATATTGTGTAATAGGAAATTATTAATTGCATTAATTGACAACGCATTAGAAATATTTAACAAGCGTGCATTACTTAAATTTTGTTAAATAAATAAATTATTAATAATTATTTGAACCACAAAAATAATTAAAAATTTTCAAGTGTTGTGATTGTGAACATAACTTAAATCTTATGTGATGAACATAAATAAAGTTTAGTGTATTTCATTTTATTTCGAAATAAATTTTTTCTTATTTAATTGCTCGCAATTTATAAGTTTTCGCTTCTCTCTTTCTTAAAATTCATAATAAAAGTATTATTAATATCTAAATATTCAGTGCAGTGAATAAATTAATTAATAAACTTGTCAATAAGAGCATGCCAGCCATGACAGTTATACTTTGATATCAATTCAGGTATCAAAAAATGATCCCATATTCTGGATCATTTCTTAAAAATGATTCAAATATTTGGATCAATTTGATACTTTATATCGAATCAAAACGTTGCATTCCTAAATGATACCATCAAGTTTACAGTGCAGTCAATTAGAAAGTGTAAAATCACATTTTTACTTAATATATGTCGCGTTCTGAAGAAAAGTACCTAAGAAACAATAGAATTATAGATTATGTTTACCCCAGTTTTTAATTAACATTTTTCACTTAAAATAGTAAAAAAATATAAATAGTAAACTTAATTTTCACAATTACATGTGAAAAAAGTGCTTAAATTATGAACATAAAGAAATAGTATTTATGTGGAAGGAAGTGTTGTAAAATGAAGAAAATTGAGTACGTAAGAATGTGAATTAGAGGCGAAAGGGATGATGGGATGTGTATTGTCGAGACCTTTAAACGGTGGGATTAAGTGCTACGTAAATTCTTGTACACGGTCTGCTTTTCCCCAAGGATAAAGAATAGCCGCTTGGTTAGACGCATTCTCCTCTCTGTATAAAGAATGCTAAACTAACTGCGCGAGAGTCATCCAAGAAGTATGAGAACGATAAGAATCGCCTAATGGGAATAAAAAATTTGCATCTGCTTTTATTCTTACAGTGCTTTGGTATACATATATATATATATATATATATATATATATATATATATATTTAAAGCTCTATTCTTTTGTAATAATTATTTAAGAAACAATGTAATATCTTTATTTATATTAAGTAAATTAATACTAAACTATCTCTTGACTGTTTATTTAAAAAATTACTCATCTTAGATTTTACAATCACAGAAACTTTTATTGTTTTTTTTTCTGAAATTTTTTCGAAGATTCCTTATGATTGTTTAGAACTGATTTTGAAGACACAATGATTCATGGAGAAAAATGATTTAGCTCTAATATATAGCATATATGCATTAGCTGAAATCAATTCCCACACAGCACCCAAAATTCCCTGAAACTTGACAGAGCCTCACACGGCAAGGTTATGGAAACTTCAGTGGCAAGGTTCATACAAGTTTGTGTCGATGTTCAAATGTTTACATGAAAAGAATATTTACACGAAACTTTGAGGAAATATTACACTATAAATATTCACGTGCAATGTTCAGTCAATGTTGTGTCAATATTCACTTATTATATTAGTAAATGAAATTTTTATAAATAGGCGAAAATGTAATTTCAATATTGACTGAACATTGCACGTGAATATTTATGTGTAATATTTCCTCAAAGTTTCGTGTGAATATTCTTTTCATGTGGACATTTAAACATCGACACAAACTTGTATGAACCTTGCCACTGAAGTTTCCTAACCTCATCATGTGAGGTTCTGTCAAGTTTCAGGGAATTTTGGGTGCTGTGTGGGTTAGCTATTAGTTGTGCTAACGATTTAGGTGCCACGGAGAAATAAAGAATTGTTGTGGTTACTAAAAATAAAGTCCACACAACAATTCCGCATTGTCAATATATAGAACCAGCTGTTCTATTTGTTTTTGGGATAAAAAAAATTGTTAAAATGGGTCTGTTATTAAAACTATTTAGATTGTTCAGTGAACAAACAGAATGGTTTGATAAAAAAAAATTGTTATGGAACAGTTGAAATAACAAAACTAAATTGTTAAATCGGCAATACAATTTGTTGTATTAACAAAGCTTTAATCCGTCTAATACAAATCCGTAGGTCATATCACCAGTTTCATTTACATTAAAATCTGTGGAACATGCATAGCTTCGGAATCAAATTCTTTGACCTGACACCAAAAAATTATTTTGAGTTGAAATTTGTTGTTAAATAATATTTACTATACATTTTGTATTGTTTGAGGTGAGGTTATGTTCAATAGTAATCGCGAGTATAACTTACCGATAAACGATGAAATTGTCTCTTCATCTATTCACTATACACTTGCAATAGATTTTTCACTTTAAACGGATTCATTCTTTAACAGCACTTTGTCATTTAAAAAAAAACTAATAATAAAAGCAAAAGTGGCACATGTGCCAGAAGCAAACGACGCGACGATCTGCACGCCAGTTTGCGAGAATTCAAAATGACCACGTGAAATTGAACAATAAACCTGTCAGCTGAACAAATCCGGATTGTTCCATCAGCAATCGTCAGAGAGTTTGCTTCTGCAACTGTACGGAATTGCAAACTGAACAAAAATGACAACAAAAAATTCGTGTTGTTTGTACATTTGTATTGACAACAATCCAAATTGTAATATCAACAAATCTACTGACAACAATCCAAAAATTGTTTGCACAAAAATCCCATTTTTCTCCGTGTAACTTGAAAAATTTCAAAAATACGTATATTTTTTCTTTCGTAAATTTTTGTTCATTTAAATAAAATTTTAATTTTAATACCGCAATATTTATCGAATTTATTTAACTTTACTGCATTTCATAACATTTTTTTACATAAATATTATAATTTTTCATGCTGTTTTAAAATCAGTTGTAATACCGTGGATGTCCCAGTTACCGTCCACCTAAGACCTAGTTTCCGTCCAGTTTAATTTTCAAAATAACATTTATAAAAAAATTATTTTCTTTTATTTGTTTACTTAAACTAATAAGTCGATTGTGTGACAAAAGGAATAAATTATTGTTAAAAAATAATTTAAATTACTATACGAGATATTTGTAAAATGGACGGAAACTGGGACATGGACAGTAACTGGTACATCCACGGTAATTTTTTTCAGAATTAACATTTTTATAAATTTTTTTGAAATAAACAAAATCAAAACTCTTCCGAGACAAAAAATCCCAAAAATGATGAACCAAATAATAAAACTACGTTTTCATTATAAATAATTATCTTCTTCTTAGTCATCTATTTCAAGATGTAATTTTCTTTAACATGTTGCTCTATCTGTCGGTCGATAAATGAAATTCTTACTAACAAACCAAATATAACATTATTGTCCTAAAATTAATTATTTATTGCTAGTTTTTAAAATTTTTCGACGATATTTTTATTTCCCTCATGTATAATGATTTTTATTTTTTAATATGTTTGTTAGAATTAGTCAGGATTTCATTAAAAAGTTATTCTCGATACCGACAGAAGATAATTGGATGAGAGTAAGACATGTCTTCAATGTTAGATGACGCCAGCACACTTGAAGAAGATTTAAAATCAAAAATACATGTTATAATTTACTCATAATAAAATTGTTATAATATGCAAATATTTTGATTAATTAGTAATTAAAATTGTAATTAACATTCTATATTAATAATGTGTAATCATAATAATTTAGTAAAATATATTAGTCATAATTCTAATAGTCATAAAAGATTATATATTTGAATAAAATAAATTTTTTTTTTAAATTATTAACAAAATACCAATTAGTATTTGAATGAAAAATTTTTTTTTATAAAAAACAATACCTAATGTTTAAAAAATGTTAAAAATAAATATTTTATAAATTTAGTATTTTTGTTTAAAACTAGTGTATATTACTTTATAGTTATAAAAAATTGTTTTCCAATTAAAATTTTTTTAAATTACTATTAAATAAATAAATACACAATAAACAAGAGTTAATTTAAGTTACATCATATACTTACATATATTCAAGTGTAAAATATCTACTAGGAAAATAATTTTCATAAAAACAATAATTTTCTTTATTTTCTTTTTAACAGTTTACAATATATTATCAAATTAACACTTAAAAATAATCTTAAACTCATAATTATAAATAATACAATGTATATTCTTAAAAAACGGAAAACAATATTGAGCGATTTTTATAAATATTGTTATTCGAATTAATATACTGAAATAACAAATAAAAAAAAAAATTTTAACAATTTTTTCTATTTTTATACTTAAAAATGTCTTACTCTATGTACAATTTTTTTATGAAGCTGCATATGTATATTGAAAAAAATTGTTATCAAGAAGTATTTAAAAAAAAATTTTTTTATTATTTGAAATAAAACTATTTTTTTAAATAATTTTTTATATAAAATAAGAATTTTTAAAAAGTGAACTATCGAAAATATTTAATTCTATTAGTCAATATGAAAAAAAATAATTTAAAAAAAAAATTCTTTCATTTATGTAAAATAAAAATTTTATGTCAGTTATATATTTTCTAAAATGATTTTAAATATAAGTATATATATATATATATATATATATATATATATATAGATTGTATTTGTATATATTAGAAGTAAAAAAAAATTTTATTTATATAATATATACAATATGTATATGTAATAATAAGTTATAACGACACAAGCATTTGAATCACGTTTGAAAAAAATCTGAAAATTAAAAATTATGTATTTTTGAAAAATAAATATTTATTACAAAATACAAACAATTGCATAAATGCCGTCAAACTGGAAGGACAGTATTTATGCAATTGGATGTAATAATAATAATAATAATAATTCGATTTATTGGTAAAATTCAATCCTTTTTTTTAAAATATTTTTTACTTATTTTTTTCATAATTATAGAAAAATAATTTTACCTTAATAGTTTTCAGTATTTGAGTGTCATAATTTCATATTACTAGGACAGCCGTGATTCATTCTGTACTCCACATAAAGCATTCCTGTATTGTGCCAATAATAAAGTGCCAAAACAACTAATGCATGCCACCATTGATGAGACGATCCAATAAAGTCTACACTACCTTTAGAAATACAAATGTTTTTTTAAATTGAATATTACTTAATTTAAAATAAATTTTAATTAAAATTTAAAAAAATTATACTAGAAATTCTATTTGGCACGTCATCATTCGATACACTTGGTATAGAAAAATGCTGCGCGCGCATTATTGCAAAGAGTAGGGAAATTGAGTGCTGTGATTGGTTATCCTCACACGCTATCCCCACTCTTCTGTAAGAAGCGCGAGTGCAATATTTTTTTTACTTAAAGCCAACGCACAATAGCTTAGTGAAGGCTATTCGTATTTTCAAAGCAACTATTGTGAATTCAGCCTAACTTTCAGTTATCCTAATTTTTATTTCCTCTAGAAGTTTCCTAATCCTGTCGGTTGTCATGATAACGTATAAGATTAAAAGAGATAGTGAATTTGTCTTTCTCTTTTACTCTTGTACGTTACCATGACAACTGACAGGGTTGGGAAACTTGTACAGGAAATAAAAATTAGGATAAGGTTAGTTTCCATTGTCCCTACTCGCCATTTGTCATAATTCTCGTTAACTACCGCACCCTGCTCTAGTAAAAATTTAGTGACTTTATTGTTAAAATTAAAAGTCACTAAATTTTTACTAGAGCAGGGTGCGGTAGTTAACGAGAATTATAACAAATGGCGAATGGGGACAATGGAAACCAACCGAACCTTGCGATGGACTTTCGCGGAGGTATTCTACTTAGGCCGATTCCACAATGAGTTTATGCACTCGCAGTTAAACGTATAGTTTGTAAATTAATTTAATTAATACATCTGTTTGTAAAAATTAAAATTTTTACTAACCTGGACAAAAGCGTTCAGGAATTCTGCTAAGATAAATAAGAAATGCTAATCCACTAATGACATACATCCCTAGAACACGAGGAAGTAGCATTCGTACCATGGGATTTTCCATTCCACCCATGGCAACGCTCCAATGTAATGTTGGCAATACACCATAAGCTGCCCATGCAACGAATACTATCAATTTTACATTGCCATTAATATCAAACTTTGGCACTTGTAGGATCATTGCAAATATAAATATTAATAGAACGGTTATTAAATAAAATTGTTGTAAACCCTGCAAAATATATTTATTAATTAGTCAATTAATGCAGCCCAATATTTATGCTGTGTAAACAATTTTTTTTAAAGTGTAAAATATTTTATATTTATTTTTGTATGTACATTTAAAGTTGATGTTTTTAAAAATGCATAAAAACAAACCTTATGACACCAGAAGGCATAATAAACCCCTGACATGTAAATTGCTAGTAAACTAAGAGCAATACCAAAGAGATCAAACGACAGGAAACACCAATAATCATCTTCACTTCGACAGGAGAATGTATGATAAATTGACGAAAGGATCATGCACGCCTGAAACGATAAATACAGTTGATTAAATTTTTTATATTATGTAAAATTGATTCTAATACAATAGTTCTGAACATATTTATTTAGGTTAATGAAATTAATACAATTTATAAATCCCTGCCTACAATTTGCTTAGTTCAGTAAAAAAATTCAGGATTTTCAGCATCTTGTCAGTGAGGCGAAGAAAAAGTATACGCCCTATCTGATAATGTAGATAGCAACCCTGGTGGCGCTATACGTTATGCGAAGGTGAATCGGGAAGAGCGGAACAGGAAAAGACATCAGCGTATTCAGGGGAAGCGGCTTTGGAGCGGAGTTATAGAGACGCAGAAACGAAGAAAAAACTCTGTCAATCCAGAGAGGACTGACGCCGAGGCGAAGAAGAAGGAGCAAGAGGAGACACCTCTTGTCAAAAAGATTGCAAAGGTGACGGTAGCACCGAATCCTAAGCAAACCAGTAAGAAGCAAGCGACGAGTGGGTCTACAATGGTGATTCGAGTCGCAACAGGAACAACGTATGCCGACGTACTGAGCAAATTTCGGAGGGAAGTGAATCCGGACGTCAGCTAAACGCAGGTCGTGGGTGCAAGACCTACAAGAAAGGGAGATCTTCTGATCAAAATCGGAGAAGTCCTCAATAAGAAGGCATTCACCACTAAGGTCACCAAAGCAATTGGAATCATGAGGAAGGTGGAGACCTTAGATCGACAGGTCACACTGGAGATCCACGACCTGGATTGCCTTATCTATACTGAGAGAAGAAAAGCACGGAATCTGAAATGGAGAAGTTCAGCATCTGTACACCAAGTTGAGCGCAGCAGCAGCGTCACTGTGTGATAAGATGCCCTATTAAAATGTGAAATGGATGTTGTGCTTGGCTTGAGTATAGATACTGTACACAGATATGAACTGTTCAGAAGTACAGTATCTGTCGGTCGCTATGAGACAGATTCCGTATAACTTAGTTCACACCGCTGCCGCGCTGCTAGAGCTTAGTATCTGAACTATGAACGACACCAACTGAACAAAACTATAGAACGGATAATGACACCCATTTTACACGGCCGGCGTTCGTCACAGTACGGATTCTGTACTTTTCTTCTCTCAGTGTAGAAAGAAGAGATACAACAGGCGTTGGATGAAGTGCTTCAGAAGCCAGGAAGCAGAAAGGTGACGGTCCTAAGACCCGAACGACGAGGAATGATGCTCGCAGTTGTAGTTACCGACCCAGAGGAGGCGGACAGGCTGGAGAAATTGGTACGCATAAGGATTGGCTTTATTTGTTGTTCAATAAAAAGGATGATGGTAGTTTGGTGCCAGTGAAGCCTGGTGTACGGCCACATAGAAAGAGTTTGTAAGGCAGCAGACAGATCTTCTGCGTGCTTTAAGTACGATGAATTCGATCATAAGTTTGCAAACTGCAGAAGAAGCCAAGGTGCTTTTTATGTAGAGATAAATTTGTCGATAAGGCGAACGTCAGTCATGTCGCAGGCAATAGAGGAAGTGGTGTCTTCAGGACAGCCCTTAACGAGTTCAAGAAGACTTTCACACGAACGAAGAATAAATAGCCCAGAAAGATCTGCAACGGTAAGGATCGCGAAAGCAAGCTCCCAGGGACCATTACCTACGAAGTTTGAAGCTTGACGGCGGTTCCGTAATGTGAGGATTAGTCCAGCCAAAGGGTGCGGTTTTTAGTGGGTTGACCAGAATAAGAACGGTCATAACCTCAGAGCACCGGGTTCCAGTCTTGGATAGCAAGGCGTTATACAAATTTTCCACTTTCCTCGTAAAAAATCAAAATAGCTGATCTAATATGGTGGTTATTTTTTAAAAGTTGAGTGAAACGCTTTTGTAACTTGTTACATGGGGGTTTTTGGAATCGCTGATTACGAATCCAAAGTCAGTTTATCAAAATTCAAAATGGCGGAACTAATATATTGGTAAATATTTAATAATTTATTCATCATTATGTATCAAAATCAAAAATAAAATGAGTTCCTGCGTTTTGTACTTCATGAAAATTAGTATTTTTATGGAAAATTTTTATCGATAATTGTATATAAATATATTACAACAATGAATATATGAAAATATAATTAAATAAATACCTGGAAACAAATGAGTAGCAAGGCAACAATAATTTTATCACCAAATGGTGCATGAATGTTTAATAGGCAAAGATCGTAAAATGTCAATCCGAAAAACAACATCCATCCAAAAACATGACTCCAAATATTGATTGTTTCATTAGTCCACCAAAATACACTGAAACGTATGAAAATAAATTAAAAACTTTTTCTAAACATAAAATAGGTAAAAAAGTCATGATTTATAATAATAAAAAATAGCCTCTTTGGCAATTGGCTCTCATTTTCTTGTACTCTTTAATTTAAACGAAAACTCTTAAATCCTATAGAGAAAAACGCTAAATACATTTTAATATAAAATACAATTTTCCGTATTTCTAAATTATTATGTAAAAAATTAAATTATGTAATAATATTCTAATGACACATATATATAAAATACAGAAAATATTTTTTTTTAATTTGGAATTTGACATTTTATTTAAATAAAATAATTATTCATTTTACGACATATAATAAATATAATGCATGAAATTGTTATATAATAAAAAAAATTTTTGAATCACATGGTAATATACTTTTTTCTAGGAAATTGTCAGGCACAATCAATTACTAATTTTCAAATTTATCGAATATTATTGAGAATCTTCTTACTTTATATATCCTGACGATTGAGGAAGAGAAAGTAGCTGATTGCGAGTAAATTACAGTAAACAGAATACGCATGACTATTTTCTGCTAGATGCATTCAATATAACTCATTTTTCATCAAACATAAATGTAATGTTTTTCTCAATAATAATAAAAATAATACTTAATCATAATAATTGGACCTGAAAATTATATTTGTCATACTTTCAACTTACATTTCACCTATATTTTGACCCTAGCTTGAAGCTAGATTAAAACTATTTTAAAACTACTTTGAAACAATATTGAAACTACATTGAAACTACGTTGAACTTAATTTGATCTACATTGAACGTACTTTGGATCTACTTTAAATCTACATTAAACCTATGCTGGTCCTACTTTGACCTAGATTAAATCTATATTGGTCCTAATTTTGAATCTACATTGAACTAATATATTAAATCTACTTTAGCCCTACTTTAAATCTATCTTAAGCCTACTTTGAATGCCAATTGAACTTACGATTGACCATCACTTAGCCCACATTATACCTACTTTGATCAACCTTGAACCTATGTTGACCCTATTTTAAATTTACATTAAACTTACATTCACACAGAAAAAAGATTTTTTGCTTCAAAGAACATTTCTTAGAATCAAAGAAATTTGTGCATTGTTATAAGGGTCAAAGTAAAATTTCTTTGAATTAAAAAAATTATTTCTTTACCTTCATTTTGTTGACTCAAAGAAATATTTTTTTTTTTTACAAAATTTTTTATTTAAATTAAATAAATAAATTTTTATTTTAATGCACAAATTTCTTTAAATGAAAAATATATTTATTTAATTTTAAAATTGTATACATAAGTTCGTATTTTGATTAAAATATATAATTTTTAAATATTAAATTAATTAAATATATCTTTAAAAATACTTTCAAATGTATTTCAAAGACATTTAATTAATTTAATACGGACATTTAAAAGTGAAGTTTACAATACACAGTAGTTTACGAATTTACGCGTAGTCTGCGCAAACGCAGTCGTGGTAACTCAGCGTACTTAAGTTCGAAAGAAGTATTTCTTTGTTTCAAAGAAATTTTTTTTTGGTTTAAAAATATCATTTAAAGAAAATTTAAATTTCTTTAATTCAAAATACTTGAAAATTTTATTTTCGTAAAAGCAAAGAAACGTTTTTTTTATTTCAAACAAATTTTATCTTTGATTCAAAAAGTGATTTTATAAAAACGATTTCATTGTTTGAAAGAAATCTTTTTTCTGTGTGTATAATTAATAGTTTTATCGCCCACTTGGAAAGATTCCCCGGAAAGTGCCCCCTGGAGGTTCTATCAGGATTCCATCGGAACTTCCAACGTAATTCCGTCGGAATTCCATCGGAGTTCCAAAGAATTTTCGATGGGATTCCGACGGAATTAGGACTCTAAAAATTTTGAAAAAAATTAATCGGAATTCCGTCAGACCTCTGTCGGAATTTCATCGGAAATTCTTTGGAACTCCGATGGAATTCCTACGGAATTACGTTGGAAGTTCCGGCGAAATTCTGATAGAACCTCCAGGGGGCACTTGCCGGGGAATCTTTTCAATTGGGCAATTTCCTTAACTTTTGCGTTATAATAATAATAATAATAATAATAATAATTTTTTATTATTGATAGCATAATTATTATTACCTTTCTAAACATAATTTAGTGGTGAGGTAGCCTCGGTAGCCGTGAAGAATAAAAGGATTAAATTGAAGATATTCAGGTGCTAAGTGAAAAGGAAGTAACTTTCTCATCCTTTCTTCATCTTCAACAGTCACCTGACCCTTAATTTGTGACTTTGCAGGTTCTTTAGGACGTTCAATTCGCCTCTGAAATAAAAATTAACTTGTAGAATTTTTACGATTTTTCATTACTTTTTCTTTTAGAAAAAAATTAATTAAAACTAAAATTTTCTAAATCAATTAATAACAATAAATAAATAAAAACAATTTTTGAAAATTATTACTGTTGTAAAAATTTAAATCACTAAAAAATTTATTTCAATTTCTCAAAATAAAGTGGGTCATATTCTGCAGAATTTTTTTTTTTTTTTTTATTTCAAACTTATTTGATCATATTTTACAATAATTGTAGTTAATAACAATATCCTAAATTATATTTGTAAAATACCTGAGAAATATTATGCAGTATTTATTTTATTCTTAGAGAAAAAAAAAAACATTTCAGGAAAAATTAAATATTGAAAGGAAAAGAAAATTGTCTAATTAGGTAAATTATTACAAAATTACAGGTTTTCGCAATATTTTTATATGCAAGTATGAGCAAAAACAAAAAAAAAAAATGAGAGAAAATTTCACTTTTACGAATTTTCGACGAGAGACGATACAAAAGGTGAGTTTAAAAGATAGCATGGCCTTAATCATTGTTGGCGAAAGAGAGAAGGAAAATATTATATATATATGTATATGGATGTATCAAGTATCTATATACTAGTGATAGGAAAGCGGTAAGTGGGTCACAACGGGACATGCCTTTCGACTCTCTGTGTCAAGTTTGTGCCCCTTAATCGTATCTTCTCTTCTCTTCATCTCTCTTACGTTACAAAGTGGAGCTTCGCACACACACACACACACAGTCACTAAATTGACTCTCGTAGAAATTTGCAATCAAAAAGTGAAAATCAATCTTTTCTTTTTTTTTTTTTTGACTAAAATTCTCTACAACTATTTAAATATGAGATTTATATATTAATAATTATAATATAAAATGAAAATTTAGTTATAAGCATTATTTAATTGAAATTTAATAAAATTAGTGGATTTATTTTTTTTAAAATTATTTTCAATATTTAATTACTTGATAGGCAACAGATTTTGTCGATTCATCTGGTGCAGGGGGCTTTGATTTTTGTTCATGATGATTGTTGCATACATGATCATTGAGAAGATCTTTTTTTTCTTCACTCGTCACCTCCTCCACGCCTGCCAATATTTTCATCATCGAAGTGACCAAATATTTATTTCCAGTCTGAGTTCACACCTGTAATATTAAATATAATACAATAATAATAATAATTAATGGAGAAAATAAGACGTGATCAATTAATAGTTTTAGAGACGAAACTTTGTATTCGATTAAAATTCAATTTACAATGTAAATTTACACGTATTAAAGAAGTTTGCTGTGGCAGCTAATCTTTTTTTGCTGTCATAGCAAACTTTGTTTGTTAATATACAGGAACAGTGAATAAGTTTGCTGCGTGGGGTTTAAATTTATTAACTATTTTTTGTTTTTTTTATACGTCTCAGCTAAATTTTTAGCAGCTTTATAGCAAAGATATTAGTTTCTGCAGCGAATTTGAGCCATATTAATAAAGATTAACTATTATTTTTTTTTGGCATTTAAAAATTTTTTAAAAATCGTTTTTTGCCAATAACATTAAAAAAAAATGTTAGGATACCTATGGATTTTTTTTAATTTTGTAGAGTTTTGTAGGACGCATCTTTTTAGCTATTAGCGAACATTCTACTGTTATTCTATCCAAAGTTATTGAATTTTTAAAAATTAGAAAAAAAAATGCTTTTTGCCCATAACTTAAATAAAATGTATTGACACCAATAGATATTTATCTCTAGTTTTGTAGAGTTTTTCAAGACGCATCTTTCTATCTATTAGTGAATATCCTACTGTTACTTTATTCAGAGTTAATTAATATTTTGAAAAATCTGTCGTTTTTGCATTATTTATTAAAAAATTTGTATGTAACTTTACAATTATTATTAACAACTTGGAGAATATTTAAAAACGAATCAATTGACCTATTACACCGACACAAAAAAAAAATTTCGATTTCCAGGACTGCCATGTGCGCACAGAAAAAAAGGTGGGTAAAAAGTTGTAAAGATAGAGGAAAAAAGTCGTTAGGATACAGGGTAAAGGATAAATTTGTGATGGATAAAAATGTTACTAAAATATTACTAAAAAAATGGATGTCATATTTGAGTAAACTGTCTAATTTTAATAAAAATATTAGTAATTTTACACTTAACTTATTAAAACCACAAATTTTATATAAATAACTAATTGCACGTGGAAATATTTTGCCTATAATTATTGTCTATTAATAAAAATATCTTTGACTAATACAACTGACAGCTGACGACAGTGCGTAAATAATCAGAACTGGGAAATTACAACTCAAGGTCTGTATTGTTGGACGAAAGCAGAGTTGGGTAGTAACTGAATTTTTTGTGTATATTAGGCTGTGTCAGTTCATCGAGATATTTCGAGTTCAAGATATGACGTCAGAGGCCTGGAGAGACAACAAACAGACGACACAATGTTATTCTTATGGGGGAGAAAATTAGTTTCCACTTTCATCAATTTTATTCATACTTTAAACACGGAAAACGCTTGTTGACATCTAATAAAATTAAAATGTGTGTGAATAATTAATTTTGTTATATATTTGATTCAATTGCATTGATAGATTCTCTTAATTCGTGATAAAATATAAATTTTTAGGTTAGGGGTGTTTGTTTACTAACTTGAAATCTTTTACTGCTGGGGTAATTCCCACTTGAAATATATATTTTATATCTTTTTTAATAACATGCATACTGGATATTGTTTAATAATGTTAAAATGTAAAATGTGATTAGTAAACAAACTTTTTTAACCTCAATATTTATATTTTATCACGAATTCAGAGAATCTATTAATGCAAATGAATCAAATATATAACAAAATTAATTACACAGCCCCACAAAAAAAAAAAAGTGTCGTGCGCGGCAGACCAGACTAGTCATTTCCCATGTATTTTGACGCGCTGAACACGAATCCGAAGTCCGTTTTGCTCCATCACGTCAGGATTTTTTCTAACCTCCAAAAACCTGTCGGATTTTGAGAGGTAGGCTATTTTTTTAAAAAATTGATGGATTTACTTCAAAATTGGTATCTAGGGGTTTTTTGGGTCGCTGATGACGAATTTGAAGTTAGATTTTCAAAATTCAAAATGGCGGCTCCAATATGGCGGACAAATTTTGTAAAAATTGATGGATTTACTTCAAACTTGGTATCTAGGGGTTTTTTGGGTCGCTGATTACGAATCTAAAGTTAGATTTTCAAAATTTAAAATGGCGGCTCCAATATGGCGGACGATATCGACCCTTCAAAGGTGATAATTCCGCCCTTACGCACGAAACTAGGAGCAATTAAACAGTTTGTCAAAGCCTTAGATAAAAAAGGAAACTGTTTCAAATACCTGGAACAAAAGTTTCCAGAAATCTCTGATGCGAAGCTAAAAGAAGGGGTTTTCGACGGACCTTGTATTCGCAAATTGTTAAAAGATGAGCAATTTATCACCAAGATGAATAAAAAGGAGAAAGCCGCATGGCTTAGTTTCAAAGCAGTTGTCGAAAATTTTCTGAGTAATCACAAGAGTGAAAATTGGGAGCAAATAATTAGTGATATGATTAAAAACTTTGGTAAGTTAGGATGCTTAATGAGCATAAAGTTGCATTACTTAGACTCGCATCGGGATCAATTCCCTGAAAATTTGAGTGATTACAGTGAAGAACAAGGAGAACGATTCCATCAAGATCTTAAAGAATTTGAGCGTCGTTATCAAGGAAGATGGGATGTAAATATGATGGCCGGACTACTGTTGGATGCTGAAAAGGGATATTGTACCTGGAGGCAACAATTTGAAAAGAAAACCATTACACAGATCCTTTGAGGACAAAAGTGTGCGCTACCATAAAAAGACGTGAATACCTTACTTATGTATATAAGAATTTCCATTTCTAGTTTTGAAAATCTAACTTCAGATTCGTAATCAGCGACCCAAAAAACCCCTAGATACCAAGTTTGAAGTAAATCCATCAATTTTTACAAAATTCGTCCGCCATATTGGAGCCGCCATTTTAAATTTTGAAAATCTAACTTCAGATTCGTAATCAGCGACCCAAAAAACCCATAGATACCAAGTTTGAAGTAAATCCATCAATTTTTACAAAATTTGTCCGCCATATTGGAGCCGCCATTTTGAATTTTGAAAATCTAACTTCAAATTCGTCATCAGCGACCCAAAAAACCCCTAGATACCAATTTTGAAGTAAATCCATCAATTTTTTAAAAAAATAGCCTACCTCTCAAAATCTGACAGGTTTTTGGAGGTTAGAAAAAAATCCTGACGTGATGGAGCAAAACGGACTTCGGATTCGTGTTCAGCGCGTCAAAATACATGGGAAATGACTAGTCTGGTCTGCCGCGCACGACACTTTTTTTTTTTGTGGGGCTGTGTTATCAACACACATTTTAATTTTATTATATGTCAACAAGCGTTTTCCGTGTTTAAAGTATGAATAAAATTGATGAAAGTGGAAACTAATTTTCTTCCCCATAAGAATAACATTGTGTCGTCTGTTTGTTGTCCCTCCAGGCCTCTGACGTCATATCTTGAACTCGAAATATCTCGATGAACTGACACAGTCTAATATGCACAAAAAATTCAGTTACTACCCAACTCTGCTTTCGTGCAACAATACAGACGTTGAGTTGTAATTTCCCAGTTCTGATTATTTATGCACTGTCGTCAGCTGTCAGTTGTATTAGTCAAAGATATTTTTATTAATAGACAATAATTATAGGCTAAATATTTCCACATGCAATTACTTATTTATAAAAAATTTGTGGATTTAATAAGTTAAGTGTAAAAATACTAATATTTTTATTAAAATTAGACAGTTTACTCAAATATGATATCCATTTTTCTAGTAATATTTTAGTAACATTTTTATCCATCACAAATTTATCCTTTACCCTGTATCCTAACGACTTTTGTCCTCTATCTTTACAACTTTTTACCCACCTTTTTTTCTGTGAAGCTGTTTTTTCTTTAGACTCAATTGTTTGTACAAATTTTTCGTCATATAACAATTTACGTATATCTGAGGCTCATCAAACACGCCTAGTTTAGTATCAGATAGTTTTGGAAACTTCTCCGCCCAAGTACTTAAAATATTTACCAGTTTTGTTCAAAGCTTTTACAAACTGCTTTATCGCCCCGAGTTTGAGATACAATAGTGAAATTAAAACTCTTTCATTAGTTGATAATGAAAAATTAAATAATACAACTAATTTTATTACCTTGCCAAAGAGAAATAGAGTTTACAAAATATTTTTAAATAAATTTTTTAGACTAAAAAAAAAACCCTAATTTAATTGGTCAGGCCTCACTCTCGCCTATAATATTCTAATTATTATAATTATAATAATAAACACCATTCTTAATAAATATAAAATTTACGTACATTTATTTAAGTTATTTATTTAAAAGATAAATAAAAATCTTGTAAAATGAAAAATTCATTTAATATTGAAAACGCATTTACTTTTGGCATGCGGTAAAAAAATTAGAATTTAAATTATATAGTACAAAAAGAATGACATTTACAATTCTTTTTCTAACGTAATTGATTTCAGTTTATTGTCCGTAACTGCCATGTACTTACGTCTAATAAATTTAAGTGGTATAAGCCATTCAAAGTAAGACAGTCATACAGTGACATCTTTTTTGTACAAGATACTTTGAAGAGTGTATAGTTCAATGACTGGCTACTGACATTCAATGACATACTATAATAGTCAAATCTGGTCAAACTTAAAGTTTCTTTTATATGTTATAAAGATATTTATATACAATGTATACACTGAGAAAAATATGCTATTGAATTAACAGCATTTCTGACAAAGGTATAAAAATTATTATTGATTCAAAAGCATATGCTATAAAATTTGTAAAATATTTTATAGATTCTATATAGCATATATATGCTTTTGAATCAATAATTTTTATACCTTTGGCAGAAATTCTATTGATTCAATAGCATATTTTTCTCAGTGTACTAATTTAAATATAATAACCCAGAAATAGTATTTTATTAATTCGATTACGTTTTTAGTTAGAAAATATTAGAAAGTTTGTTATGAATTTTTTACGTCACTTTTGTTTTATAGACATGTACACATATTCAAAAATTTGAATATATATATATTTTTTTTTCATAATATAAAAGTGACGTAAAAAATTCATATACTTTCTAATTTTTTTCTAACTCTATATATAACTAAAAAACAAATAGAATTAAAAATAAATATATTTCTGCAATTTGAACAATTTTTAAATAATAGTATAATTATAAAATTATATAATATTATTATAATATATATTAATAGTATTCATAAAATCAATTAATCAAAAAAAAATTCAATTCTTAAAATAAGATAATATGAAAATAATTTTTAATTATAATTATTTTAAATTTTATGTAAATTAAAGTAATTTAAATGCGTAAAAATTAAAATGGATATTGAACTTGTACCATTTTCTAATCATATATACATATTATCGATATGATACTCAAGGTATATATAGTCATTGTTAAGGTTACAGAATCATGTGACCGTTCTATATAATTATCATAATGCAGATAAATGCCAAAGTAGATTCATTCTTTTTTTAAAAATGTAAATTAAAATACAATTTATGAAACAGGTTTATTCTCTACAATACACTGGAAAAAAAATAGCATTGAATTAAGAAAACCCATGTATATTTGTTCGTATTTGATACAACTCTACCAAAAATTACCAGAGTTCATTAGTTAATTTTTGCAAGGGAATACAGTAATACTTCAATAACTCGAACCATGAAGGTATCAAAAAAAACTTCGGGATATCGAAAATTTGAGATTAAATAATTTTTGTTAGATTAAAAAAAATATCCTCTTGTACATTTTTATGTTAGAAAAATTAAAAATTTAATTTCTTTAATAACTTATTAATTACTTCCGTTTTATAATGTAGAAAAAAAATCACGTCGCCTTTTACAAAAATTATTTATTTAAAAATAAATATTTCATTTCAAAAAAAAATTTTTTTTTTATTTTAGTTCAAACAAATGAAAATTTTTCTTCAGAAAATTATTTATAATGAATTTCCACGAATAGTTTTCACCAATTTTTTTTTTATGAACTCACGGAGAGTAGATTTATCGATGTCTTTTTTTTGCTTAAATGTTAAGATCTCATTTCAATTCTATACCATTGAACTCAAAAGTTGTCTATAAAGAGAGATATAAATAATTAAAAATCATTCATTTTTAATTTTAAGTAAAATAAAAATAGAACATATATATATATATATATATATATATATATAAAATAAAGATTTTAAGAAAATCATTTTGCGGCTGACCGCAATAGGATATGTATCAGAACTTTGTTTCTGGGTCCATGAGATTCCCGCATTTACTTTCTCTCTGCACAAGATCTCTCGGATCAAATCATTCAGCGAGAAAGTTGGGGGAAAATGAGCTGTTATTTGTATCTCAACAATTACAAAATTGTGTAGCAATGAACGTTAAAACTTGAAATATAAATAAATTTGATTCTCAATGATTTTCTTGCGAAAAATTTTGTTTTTTCAAAGAGAATAAATTTATTAGAGAAATTTTTTTATTTCAAAATTTTACTTTATTAAAACAAAAATAGTAATAATAATAATAATACTATTTTTTTATTAAATTATATATTGTATATAATATTTACCAGTACTTTAATATAAAAAAATAAATTTTAAGGGGTCCGGGACATAAAAATCACCCTATATATTTATTTATTTATAAAATAAACTAAAAAAATTCTACTTGTTATTGCGATAAACTTGAACTTTTTCTTATCAAAATAAGAGACCAATTATTTAAATAAGCGTCGAAAGTTAAAAAAAAAAGTTCCCAACAATTTCCGTCTACTTTTTATATATATATTTATTTAGAATTTAAAAATAAAACAAAGCTAAATTATTGGAAATATATGTTTGACTCTAAAATTACGCAACGTAAAATTAATAATAAAAAATTTTCCAATATATTTTCATGTTTTTTTTCCCTACTAATTTATATTATCAATAAATTACAACGTTAAAAAAAATGCGTAGTATTATTAAACTTTAAAAAGTAAACTATTAATTATTATGTTTTTTTACACATTGTTTATTGTAAGCTCATTAGAAAATTGTACAAACAAATATAAATAAATTTCTTCACAACAAAAAATACAAAATTATCCGAAATTTTTTAGTTAAAATCTCAAAAAAAAAAAAAAAAAAAATGTATATACATATATGTAATATAAATATTATAAAAAATAAATAAATATATATAGGTATATAATTCTAAAATAAATAGAGAAATTGAACTCTTTCCACAAAAAATTCTAAATATATTGGAATAAAATTTCAGAAAGCAGGTAGAAAAATTTTGTACTTAGAAATTAATTAGTCTTAAAAAAATGATTAATATTCATTTTAGCACGATTAAGAGAGAAGGTTAAATGCCATATAAGTGATATTTATTCATGTGTCAACTATAAAACAAAACAACGTTTGTAGTAAACTGATTCTTATTAAATCGTCCCTGAGTGCATAACTTCTTTCCTTTAATAGAGATTTGTTTTATTGTTTCCGGAAAATAAATAAACAAAATGTTTACTAAATTATAATATTATTCATTTAATTTAAAAAATTTAACAAGATTTCAATCATTTTAACTTATTATTATTATAATTATTATTATTATATTATCACTATCATCAACAATAAACACAGCAAATTTTTAATCGTCTCTATTTAAAAAAAACATTTTTTTTCTATTATTTTAAAATAACCGTTATAAAACAGTTTTATGAAACTCTCTTGACTGATTGTTATGGGAAAAAAATAGAAATTTATGAAAGTCAACAAATTACAAAAGCATGACTTACCAGAAAATAATATGAAAGATTCCAATAAGAAAAACGATGTCTCTTGTGAGACTTTAAATTATTGTTAACTACCACCTGACCATATCACTATAAGTGAAGAAAAACTCACGAAAACAAACTTGAAAATGAAGTTCAATAATTTTTTTCTTTTTCAAAAAATTTGTTTTGATATTGAAATGAGCCAATCCAATGTAATTATATTACAAATAGACCGGTGGATGTCTTTAGACAGACTGTGGATTGGTCAAATCGCGGTTTCCCTGTCCAGTATCGTCTTATTCTATGAGGGAAGGGGCCTTATTTCTCGCTTACGTCAGCACTCTCACCGTACTGCATTTATGCATATACTATATGGAAAGGACTTACATTTTAACTGATGTTCAGTTAAATTTCTTCTTTAATCATACAATATTCATAATTTTTTTCTATTTATTAAAAAAGAAAAAAATACAAAACTTAATCAAAAAGAGCAATTTGTTTCTATTAAAATTATTAACAATAATCACAATATTATATTTATAAAATTAATAAACTAGTAATAAAAATTATGAATTCCCTAATAACACAAGATATCTTGGGATATATTGATAATATCCCGCAGATATCCTAGGGATGTCCTATGGATATCAAAAGGATCTCTTAAGGATATCCAAAAAAATCGGCGGTTTGGATATCTGAGGATATCTTCTGGATATCTTTATAGACTTTCATAAATGTCCTCCAGATATCCCAAAGATATCGTCAGGATATCCCATAGATATCGTCAGGATATCCCAAAGATATTTTCAGGGTATTCTCAGTATATCTTCTGGATGTCAAGAAGATATTCGCAGGATACTGTTTTTAAAGTCATTATGAGACTACGAGTGAGAATATTCTGTGAATTAAATTTTATACAAATAAAATAAAATGCAACTTGCTTTTCGAGAAAGTTGTTTAATTTGAAAAATTATTAACTAATTTTTTTCTCATTCGTGATTCATTCCTTTATTCGTATGTTTAATATTGTCAGAAAATAAATTGGCTTTAAACAATATAAATTCTTCCCCGCAAATAACGAATAACTATTAATATTAATTATACATTAAGTGCATGAGTTTATTTAAAAACTTTGAAAAATGCGTTTCAAATCTTCATTTAAAATAAATTAGAAGCTCATAAGTTTTTTGTTTTTATTATATTATTATTCATTATATTAGCTTAACAATTTTAACCTTTAAAAATATATGTTGAGATATTAAATATCCCGTGAATATCCTAAGAATATCCCACGGACATCCTGAGGATATCCCATGGATATCCTGCGATATAATATCCAATAGATTTTTGTGGATGTCTTAGGGATATCCTATGGATGTCCTGTTGATGTCCCACAGACCGGCGGTTTGGATATCCCAAGATATCCTGGGGACCATTCTAGGATATCGACCATTGATATGGATATCCTAGGGATATCCTTTTGTTATGAGGGTTAGATTTAAATTTTTTTTAAAATTCTTATTTCATTCAATAAGTGAGAGTTTTTACTGTCCATCGTTAAATGAAGAAAATATGAGATGTAAATTATTATCAGAAGGTTGATGGAATAAAAAATTTCTAAGTTTTTCATTTTAAAACCCGCGTGGAAAAGGACTGTAGTTTACATAAAAATACCAAATATTTTAAGTTTATAATACCCGTACTACCCCCACAGCACCGAAGCTTTTCTGAATATTTAGTAAATATTTAAAATTTAAATATTTACATAATTTTCAATAAACATTGCAATTAAATATTCCAAACATTGCAAGTAAATATTTACTAAATTTTCAAGAAAGCTTCGGTACTGTGGGGGTAAATTACTTGAAAGAGGTCCTTAAAGTTGTAAATAAAAAGTAAGAATAGAAAAATTGTGAAAAAAGGGATGGTAGTATACTACTATTATTCAGAGTCCTGCCTTTGACAAAAGGGTACATCACTGTCCGAACTTTGTTTTAATGAGAGTAATAAAGTAAAAAAACGAAAAAAAAATTTCCACGAATAATTCTTTGGAAAAATTTTTTAAACAGTTTTTGACTTTTGTTTCGTTAACAGAATCTTTTATTATACATAATTTGCCATTTGTTTCAAATCTGTGCGTTTATTTGTTAAAGAGATAACTTTTTAACTTTGTTTTAAATAATCTCGAAAAAAGTAACAATGGTTTAGGTTTTTATAAAGACTTTGTGTTAAAAATGAGAAAAGTCGAACTTTTTTGCCCTCCCCCTAGAGTATATCGAAAAAATAATTATTTTATAAGCATTACCAGAAGAACATTTTATAAATCAATCTCTATTCATTTTTAAACTAATTAATTATATAGGGGAGATCGGGGCGAAAAGGATCACTTTTCATTCTTTCTTGATTATCTTCGTCACTTACGAATTAATTAAAAGTTTATCAGACAGAAAAGTTACTTAACTATATATGAGTTTTAATTTAAAAAAAAGAACTTTCCGGTATTTTATATTTATTTACAACTATAAAAAGAACTAACTTTGTCATTAATTTTACTACACTATAATAAAATAATTTTTGTATTACATTTAATTCTAATATATTTTTCAAACATTTTAATGTTTTTTTTACAACTAAGAAAAAGTATTTAAATTATGTGAAAGGGATTATGGTTATAGAGAGTTATAGTTGAATTTTTTTTTTAAGAAAAAACTTTCCACTGTTTTTAACAATTCTAAAAAAACATTTTTTCTTTTTGTATATGATTGAGCATTAAATAAGGAATAATATTCCTAATAATAAAAAATATCAATCAAAAGCAGTATTATTTTTACATAACCATACCAAAAATTACCAAGATTCATTCATTAGATCATTAGAAAAAAATAATTTCAAAACTCGTGCTAAAAAATCTATTTAATAATAACTCCAACAAAATTTAGAAATTTGCAAAACTATTCAACTTATATTTGTCATTTATTGTTTCAAACAGAAAAATATTAATGCAATAACTCTTTTGTAAATAAAACTTACTTTGCGACCGGTAAAGGAGAGGAGTTTTTTACACTATATTAATTTTATTATTTTCAATTACCGTCAACCGGGGCTATTCTGTCATCTCAGGGGCTATTATAAACAACGCCAGTTTTTAATAAATAAAATCTTTATTTTTAAATATTTGAGTTTGTCGTTTCGGGTAAATATTGTTTGATACCTTATACCTTTTGTATTTTAGTTTTGGTATTAATCTTTGTCTCATAGTTAGTTAGTTAACCTTAGTTAAATACAAACATTTTTTCTCTTTGATATTTTACAGTTAAAATTAATTTGAAAAAGTTACAGAGCTTCAAATATCAAAAAGCAGCAAAAAATTCGAAATTTTTGTTAAAAATAAAATTATATTGAAAGAAAATAAATTCAGTTCACAAAATGGACACATTCTCATCCCAAAGCACTCAAAAAAATATGATAAAACTAAAAAAAAGCTAAATTTCCTAAAAAAATGACTATATACATATAAAATTATATTTTTTATCCAAAATCCAACATTCTGACCAAATTATCTCAAAACCTATTGCCTCTAGAAACTCGGCCCCAGAGGCTTTTTTTCTCACAATTTCCTAAGCTACAACTTTGCTATACAGTAAAACCCCGACTTACGCTACCCCGTTTTACGCGAATTCGGAGATACGCGGTTTATTTTATGGCCGCGCGAATTAACTCGTAATTAATTAATAAATAATTTATTATTGTTTTTTACGTTGTTTTTATTCATAAAAATGTAAATATTTGATATTTTATTAAACATATTTCTTCTAAATTCTAAATTATTGTATTTACTAGCTAAAAGAAACGCGCGTGGTATCTGTAATTTTTTATGATAAATTAAAAATTTATTTTTATTTGACGAAAAGTTATTGGAATTTTGATCTTACAAAATTAAGTTATTTTTGAAATCTTTACTGTATTATTATTTCAACATTATGGTGTCATAATAATATAATACATATTATTTCACAGTCAATATGACCTTTAAATTTTGTACTCAAATAAAGATTATATGCTACGATCATCGAATTGTTAGCAATATATTTAATTGACCCATCTCAGGATCCATGCAGGGTGAATTCCTATTTTGTTTACCACAAGGCCCATGAACTTAAAATCGCTTTGCAATGTTAAAAAGTTATGGATTCTTTATTTCGTCTGTGATTTCAGCACATATCATTTTATTTAAAGTTTCTGAATCGCAGATTTGTGCACGTAAAAATATAATTAAACGCACATGTGGCAATCCCCGCTTTTTTCTTCTCTATGAAAGACGATACATATAAAATTGTAAATGAATAAAATTACAAGTACCTTGAGTATGCTTAAGGTTAACAGTCCATCCAGGATCACCATAAGGAAACATTGTAGGATATGTCATGGGATCAAAATTTTCACTAACAATAAGACTCGAAATTATTTGATTCAAAAACTACTGTTGGTTGAAAAGGGAACAACCTAATTAAATATTCTATTTGGAAGAACATTCAAACACCCTGCATTAAGACTTTCAAAAATATAAAGTTTTATTCCATCGTAATAGACACAAATCCAATAACCAAAATCGTATTACCACTAAAAACTATTTTAATATGTTTAACTTCTTCTTTAATTGGAAAAATTAAATGAAGCCTTTGTAAATACAAAGTACTTTAGCATAATGAAAAAATAATTTGTATCTTTTCTCAATCATTTTTAAAATTTATACATATGCATATAATTTAAAATTTCATTTACATATTCAATAATTTTAAAATCTTTATTACTTAAAATAAAATACTCTTTTATATTCGACATGGTATCCTTCTTCAAATTTCAAGCTCCTGGTAAAGTCACTTTTCAAAACAAATCTTTCATTTCAGTTTCCCGCTTTAAAAAATTTATTTGGGTGATTCTTTCAAAAAAGACTAATGACGCTTTCACGGTAATCTGTTCAAAAATAATAAAATTTATTGAAATTATTAAAAATTCTGTAAGCCATACGTTAAGTTTTAACAATTTTCAATTGAATCACTAAAGAAAAATTCCAAAAAAATTTGTCAAGTGCGAGTTACACTCGCTTACCTAGGGTTCCGTTCATGAGTATTTAAATATTTATATATGTTTAAATAAAATAATTTTCCTGTAATTTTCTTTAAATTTTTTAATTTATTTTGACATATTTCTCAGAATTTCACGATTACGAGCATATGTTGTTCCAAATATAAATGTTAATATTCAAAAGTTTTATAATTTTGGTACAATAAACCTATACGATGTGTTTTAAACCAATTTAACCCAAAGGTGCTGGCACCAAATATTTTCTTCTTGATTTTGATTCTCTAATATAACCACATGGTTATAGCTCGGGTGCGGCTGGTAAGATGAGAGACACCACTTCCCCTTACAGGACAGTAATTAAACGATCATCGACCATCTTATATAAACAATAATAGAAAATAATCCCTCAACCGAAGGCTGTTTTTGACGAAACAAATTGCAGGTAAAAACCCTCGAGAACCCTCATTATCAAAGCAAAGATATATATGTATATATAATCTAATAATAACGAGAAATTTCAAGTGCTAAGAAAATGTGATTGAATACAAAGATTATTATAAGATACTAAAATAATAATTTTATATGAAAACTTAAACCCCGATTTACGCGAATTCGACTTACACGGTTGTCGCTCGGTCCCACCTATCGTGTAAGTCCAGGGTATTACTGTACAACATTTTTCTCTATCTTTTAATATTTTCGTGATTTTTTTTGTATTATTAGACTCCATGAAGAGGAAATCAGTGTGATTTTGAAACGTTAGAGAAAATTTTATTAAAATCCATTTGCCCGAATGTTATCGTTTTTGTTACGTAACCCATTCAAAAAAATATGATATGTTTGGATATATGTCAAACTTTACAAAGATGTTCAATTTAAACAATTTACATTAACATAATTCAAGCGCTAAAGTTGTCATCTTTTTTTGGTAAGAAAACTATACGTATTGTTTGATAACACATTTTGTACTGTAACCTCGACTGTAACATGATCGATTTATTTTCAGCCTTTAATAAGATGGTTAAATTAACTTATCTCATCATATCAGTGTAATAAAAAAAAAATTTTGCCTATAAATTTTAGGATCTTTTTTTTAACCCTATAAGAAGTAATAAAATCATTTTCGAAAAAAAAAATTAAAATTATTTTAGGTGATCCGTTTCAGAAATTCTGACCCCCTTTAGTCGCCTCTTACGATCACGCGGTAGGTTACGGACGCCCTATTCTACAGCCGGGGTCGACACGGCGAACATATCCTGAAATTAATTTGAAAATCTCTTATTCTTCGAGTTTGAACTTTTTCATCAGCCAGTAAAGTATTACCTGAAAATCCTCCCGAACTTTTAATAGAGAAAATAAAAATTAAAAATAAAAAGAAAATTAAATAATTCAACAACAGCCTGTGATTATTAGGTTACATGTTCTTCCACAATGTTAATTTTTCAACAACTTTTCTCGTTAAAAAAAACTGTATTGGACGCTCATTAAAACAAAAGTTTTAATACAAAAAACAACTTTTTAAAAAAAACACTTACAATTAATCGAATAATAGTTCCATATTCAATATTTATTACGCACGCTTTCACAATAAAAATTCAATTTGGAAAATACAATTTCATGTAACTGACAATATAAAGTGAACACAGATAATATATAGAAAGAAAGAAAAGAAAAAGAGAGAAAATTTCTCTGAATAATGAAAAAAAGAAAAAAAGTCGAATACATATCGTCGTTACTTAGACTTTATTATATAAAGGACTAATGCTAGAATGTACACAAGATAAGTTATTAAAAATGTTCATTATTGCGATAATATTTAATTACACAATGAATAATTTTTTTCTAATAGAGGTAAACGATGATTAACCAGGGCAACTTCATTTTTGTGATTTTTGTTCATGTTTTTTTTTTTTTGTGTTATTTTCTTTTAAATACCTATTCTTGCCTTGTTCGCTGGTAATTCAATTACCGACACTCTCGAATTATTTAAAATTTTTTTTTTTTATTTAGATCCAAATAGACAAAAATCGAGTTTGTCACATGATTCATCCAATTTATTTTCACAGTGTAAATCAATATTCATCCCTACAAAGAATCGCGCATCCATTCGCCAGCCTTATTGCCCAAAATGAGATTTCAAAAGCACCCTATACATCGAAAGATCATCATTTAGAGTTAGAACGCCGATACAAGTTGCATTTTTTTTTTTGTATTTATTTATTTATTTTTTTTTTTTAAAGATAAAATACCTATTACATTTTTCTTAAGATACTAATTAAGTCACGGTGATCAAAAAACGCGTTAATTATTATTATTTGGACTTTTTTTATTTTTGCATTGAAACTGAGGCATACCAGAAAACATTGATATTGGATCGCGTGTGCAATAATGAATCCACTTTTTTTTCAGGTGAATTTTTTTTTTTATTCATTTATTATTTTTTCTCAATTTGCCAATTATTTTATTTTTTTTTTTTTTTTGACAAATATTCTGAATTTCTGATCCTTTATCATCACAGCACATACTTAGAGATTAAGGGTATCAAGAGTTTTTTTTTCCCTAAAGAAAAGAGAGAAAAAAAGTTCCAAGTAAGCAAAAGCTTACTAGGGTGTAATTTGTTCTTTTTTCTTTAAAAAAGAAAAAACAGATTTTCACTTAAAAAAAAGATAACTAAGCGGTGTAAATAAAATACACTTTAAGAATGTAAATTGAGCTTGGCATATATGAGAAAAGTGTATAAATGACGTGAATTAATTAGCAAAGGGATTAAATTTTTTTGTTTTTTCGATATCACGACGCAAGTAACATTATAATTAGTACAATTAAACGGAACTTGTGAGTGTCGATTTCCTTTTTCAAAAAAAAAAAAAAAAAAAATGTACCGATTTTTCTAAATTTTCACCTTCCTTTTTTTTTCTTCTTTCTTAATTGCCCATTTGATCAGTACAAGTCTCTCAAAACAAGTAAGATAGGGGAAAAAAATTTTTTCTTAATTTAAAAAACAAACAATTTTTCGTTAACTCAAATTTACGAATTTAAAATTGAGTCATAGAAGAATCCCAAACGCGTCACAATAATTGTTTTCAATTACACATTCTTCTTTTTTTTTTACAATCAAATTACAGGTACATAGAAATTTTTTTTTCCAAAAAAAACAATCCCGATACAAAAATTTCAATCATATTAAAACAAAAAATGAATTCAAAAAAATTTTTTTTTCTAAACGTTAATTAAAAATAGTTAATAAAATGAGAAAAATTATTAAAACGAATTTTCTCCTCAGATATTTGTAGCGGTTTAAATAATTTTTCTATCTCCTACAAAAAAAAAAAAAGAATCGATATCTCTGCCTTTGAAAATTAGCAAAAATGATCGTCATTCAACGACGTAAATCTATGAATACGATAAGATTAAATTAATAACTTTTTTTTCAACAAAAAAAAAGAAAAACTAACCGCCGCACTTTTTTTTACACGATAAAATAAAAAAATAAAAAAAAAAAAAAAAACCTTCCCCCAAAAAAAAGACAGGTCGGGAATTAAAATAATAAAAAATGACAAAATATTTGTTTTCAGTTTCAGAAGTATTTATGTAGGGCCCAGTCTTACAAAAAAGGTAACCGCGTCAATCTAAAAGGGGGACACGGGCTCAATTTCGCATTTTTTAAATAAAAAAAAAAAAAAAAATATTTTTTTTTTTTAACAATCAGTGCACTGTCGTGCCAGTTTAAATTTGCAATTTTCTCATTTTGACGAGATTATACTGAGAAAGTAGGTTTTTCATTTTACTTTAAATCTAGAATACAATTGTCACAAGCATAAACAATTAAAAAATAAAAAATAAAAAAAATAAAAAAAAAAAAAAAAAAAAAACGAAACTTCAATCGAAAATTACAAATCCTACTTTCATTTTATTCCTATAAACTTCGGTTTTTGATTCAAAATTCTTTTTTTTCTCTTTTTTTTTTTTTTTTTTTTTTTTTTAATTTGAAAAAAAATTCAAGCGGACAAATTCTGTGTGTGTGTATGTATTGTTTTTTTTTTTTTTTCATCAAATCGCTTATAAATATATATATAGGTAAATTGTACATACATATATTTATATACGTCGAAAATGACCACCTATTTAAAATTGCCTCGAAAGTATTCGGCGCCATCATCATCATCATTATTATTATTATTATTATTATTATTATTATCATTATCATCATCATCTTGGTAAATTCGCAGTGTACAAAGGCGGAGGAAAACTTTTAAAAATGATCTCTCGCATTTTATAGCCTGAGCACTCTGCGTGTGTGTCTTGATATTTTGTTTTTACGCATTGGGAACTTTATTTATTTTTTTTTTTTTATGTTTTTTGTGTGTGTTTTTTTTTTAAGAACAGACGAGTCATAGCTAAGGTTTTTTTTTCTTTTTTTCTTTAGTATTTTTTTTTTTTTGTAATTTTTTTTTCTTAAATTGGTGCTGATCTGTAAGTGGCATTTAGGCTGGGATTTGCTTCACGGTGGTGTTTGGGATTTGAAATCAGTGGATATTGGCGCATCACATGGCATACTTGCGCGTCCATTCTCGTGCCAATTCGTTGTACTTCTCTCTGTCTGTTTTATATATCCTTGCTATCTCAGGTACCAGAGGATCATCTGGATTTGGATCGCACAGCAGAGAGCATATCGATAACAACACTGTAAATTATAAATTAATTAAAATTAATTAGCAGAGTTTATAAAAATTATTATTATATTTTTCAAAATTAAGTGGTTGAGAATTTTTTTATTTTTTTATTTTAATTAAATTTAATTAGTCAAATAAGTATTTTACTTTAAATAATTAATATTATTAGAATATTAAATCCATTTCAATAATTCCATAATAAGAATAATTCTACTGGAATATTATCAAGAAAATTTATTTCCAATATTTTAGAATCGAAGACGTAAAAAATTTTAATTTAGACAAATTTCTAAAAAAAAAATTCTGACAACAATTCAATTTTAGAGTTTTTATTTGAAATTTTAAAAGAAATATTAAAATTATTAAAAATCATTGAACTTTGAAAGAGTTATTTTTTTTTACAAAATAATTAAATTTCAAAAGATTTTGTTAAATTTTTAAATATTAATTAAATTTTTACAAAATTGAAAATAATTCATCAAATAATTATAGATAACATTTTTCAAAAGTAATTGAATTTTCAAAGATTTACAATTCAGATTTTTGAAATTAATTGAACATCAAGTGATTTTTAATTAAAATTTTTGCTGATAAAGAATTTATTAGAAATTACAGACAAAAATTTTTAATTGAAAAATAGTTTCAAATAATTGAATTTTTAAAGAATATTATAAAAATTATTAAATTTTTGTTGAGTTACAGTTGACAAATTTTGAAATAATTCAATTTTAAAAAGGTTTTTTAATTAAAATTTTTGGTAATTTTATTTTTGTTGTTGAATTTCAAAAAAATTTTTAATTGAAAAATAATTTAAGATAATTGAATTTGTCAAAAATTTTATTAACATTTCATAAAAATAATTAATTTAGAGAAAAATTTTAGTTAAAAATTTGTTAAATAATTAAGATCTAAAGAAGATTTGCATTACTTTTAATATTCTTTCGTTAATAACAATAAATTAATTAAAATTTGAATTTTTTTGACAAGAATATTTAATTAATTTAATTTAAGAAATTAAATCGTTGTAAATAATAATTTTAAAAAATATAAAAATAATTAAATTTAATGAAAATAGAAAAATTTACTTGTTTTTAAATTCTCATCATACTGAAGAAGTTTTTAATTTGTGGAATTTTTTAAAATTATTTTTAAATATTTCTTAACTATATTAAATATTTTTTCCTTCTATTATTTTGATATTAGAAATTGAGTTTTTTTTCGATTATTGGAAGTGAGAAATAAAACACCAAATCTGTAAATAGTGAAAAAAAAACAACTGACAAAAAAATTTAGGAGTAATTTCCAAAAATTGATCAATCATAATTTTTTTGTAATTAATATTATTTTTTTAATTTATAAATATTATGTATGATAATTTTTAGAATATCGTTTTTTTTTTGTTTTGTTTCAATTATTGTATGATGAATAAATACTGCGTATTTTCTTTTTTATATTTTTCTCTTTAAACTGAAACTTAATCCGTTATTGACTAACTTTACAATTACAGACTTAAAGCAGATTAAAATTTCTTTGCAAAAACAAAAAATTAAATTGTCTGCTTCGCTTTATTATAACAAGTGAAATATAAATGAATTTAATTTTTCTTTTAAAGAAAAACTTTCTTTAAATTTATTTATTTCACAAATAATAAAACAGTTTTTAAATTTTTATTTTTTCAAATTATTATTTAACAGAAATTCCATTTAATCAAATTCTTATATTACGGAATTGTTATTTAAAATTTTTCACTTTACAGACTTATTATTTTCATTGAATTTAAATTTGTTAAAATTATTATTTACTTTTCATTAAAGAGAATAGTCATTTAAAAGAACTTTTATTTTTACTTCATTTATTCGAATAAATATTTGGCAAAATAAATTTAGATACAAAATTTTTAAAAATTAACCAATCAAAAGTTATCAATGAAATTATTATTGGTTTATTTTAAAATTAGTGCAAAAAATTTTCTGCCACATATTAATTCGGAAAAATAAAAATTCTGTAAAATAAAAATTCATTCGGCATCGTAAAAAAAATTTTCATTGGTAGACTTTTTTAAAATCGGTTACAAGTTCTTTAATATAAATATATTTTGATTTTGAAAGAAACAAGAAATACTAGTTTTGATCGTATTATTTAAAATAAATAAAAAAAAAATTGAAATTTAAAAAAGAATAATAAAATTTAATAATTAAGAAATTTAAGAAATTCAATTTTAAGTGGAAAATTAAAAAAAAAAAGCCATACCTTTTGATATAGTGAGTGCGGGAGACCACTGCGATCTCAAAATATCCAAACAAATACTTCCATTACTGTTAATATTAGGGTGATAAATTCTTGTAGTGAATGCAACCTATAAATAAACGAAAAGAAAAATTAGTTTTCTATTTTAGAAATTCTGTAAAGATTTTAAATACCTATGTGTATGTAAATTAGTTAAAGTTACGTGTAATTTTCAAATTTTTTCAAATTTAAAAATTACTTACTCTTTTCTACAAATGAATCAACTTTTTTTTTTTAATTTACTTTAAAAAATAATAAATAGATTATATTATTTAAAATATAAATAATTAGAAAATAATTTTTTTTTTCATTACGAACATTTGGTGGTTTAAAAAGTTTTGAAAAATGATTAATCGTTAGATAATTATTTCAAATAAATAATTGATTAATGAGAAAATAATTTTCTTTTCAATACGAACCTTTGGAGGTTTAAAAGGATAATCTGTGGGAAAATGAATTGTAAGGAAAAATACGCCTCCTTGATACGGGCTGTCAGGCTGAAAAAAAGAAGTAAAAATTATTAATATATATTTTGTTTTTAAAAAAACTTATTTTTAAATTTTCAAAAACCAAATTTATTTGAATTCCGATTTTCGATGCAAAAAGAATTTTCAGGTACAAATAAAAAAAAAATTTACATAAAAAAATTACTGGCTTAAAAAAATAATATAATTTGCAAGTAGCCTTTAATTTTCAAATAAAATAACTAATATTGGCAAAAAAAAAGAAAAATATTTTATAAATATTGGTCTTGCATTGATTATGAAATTCGTGTTATTTTTAGATTAGAAATTACTTACTGGTCCCATAATCGTTGCCTGCCAATGGAATACTGAAAAAGACAATGATGCAAGGTAAGTATTCGTAGTGACTGCAAAAATGTTTATTCAACAAAAATTTTTTATAAAAAACAATTTGTAAAAAAATCGATTTACAAAATCAACAATATTTTAAAAAATAATAAATTTTTAAAATGATTAATAATAATAATAATAATAATAATAATAATAATAATAATAAAAATAATAATAATAATAAAAATAATAGTAACAGTAATAATAATAAAAATAATAACAGTAATAATAATAATTACAACAATAATAATAAATTCGGACAATAAATAAAATATTATAAATAATTTTTAAAACAAAATGTAAATAAAAATTGATTTTAAATAATGGAAATTGATTTTTCCCCCCTCCAATATAATCAGAAACAAAATCGATATTTTAAATAAAAAATATTACCAAGAAATATTATTTCAACAAAGGAAAAATTTTATAATAAAGTGAATGTACAATATAAAACATTATTCTTATTTCTCAAACAATAAATAGTACATTTCGATTTATAAATATTTAATAAACTTAAACTTATAGCCTCTAGTTTCTTAAAAAAAAAAAAAAAGAAAAAAAGTTTCTTCCACGAGCTTTACACTTCAGGAAATAGTTATAAAAAAAAAAAAAAAAGTTTTATTCAACTATATAAGTAAAACTTTTTCATTGTTATGAACAAAATAAAAAAATTATATACATTTTAACATTTATATGAATTTATTGAAATAAATTAAATATTTGTACTTGAAAAATTGAAGAAAATTTGTAAATTAAAATTTCTAATAAAATAATAAAAATATCTAAATTAAAAAAATTTAAAAAAAAAATATCGAAATAATTTATTTATACAAATAAATTGAAAACTAAATAAAAAGGTAAAAAAAGTAAAAAGGTAAAAATAATATAAAAAAATAAATAAAATAACGAAAAATTACAAAATAGATTTTTCTCTCTTTTTGTTAATAATGAAAAAGAAGAATGAACAATTTTTGTTTTTTAAAGAAGGAAAAAAGAAATTAAAAGAAATTCTTTGCACACGGTTGAAAGAAAATGGCGTCCAGGTAAGTATCGCGAAGGTATAAGTTTATGCAATTCAAATAAAACATGTTAATCGAGTTTTTTTTTTTTTTTTTTTTTTGCTTTTCTTCTTCTTCTTTTTCTCTTTATTTTAAATTTATTCGTTTAAGTAAAAGAAAAATAACAAACAAACGAAAAGAAAGGGAAAATAAAAAAATAATTGCAATTTTCTCATTGTAAAACCTTGAATGTAAATACACTCAATGAAAAATGTGAATAAAATTAAAATTCTTGATTAGAGAAGCTTTAATTTTTTTTTTTTTTTTTGCAAATGGTTATTAATTATAAAAAAAAAAATCGAAACTTACAATCATCACCTACTGGTCCAGCTGAGCATTGTGCTGGTGGATCCCTTCCGAGATCTTGAAGTTCCTGAAAAAATTACAACAATTCTTGTGAATTACAATATTAAATAACAATAAATAAACGAAATTATTTTACAAAAAAATTTAAATTATTCTCAACAAAAATCAAAATTATTCTACAAAATTGAAATCAAAACTATTTAGAAAAAAATAAAATCAAAATTGTTTTAAAAAAATAAATAAACAAAATTATTTAACAAAAAATTTAAATTATTTTACAAAAATCAAAATTATTCTAGAAAATTGAAATTAAAACTATATTTAAAAAATAAATAAATAAATAAATAAAATCAAAATTGTTTTAAGAAAAAATTAAAATCAATAAAATTATTATAAAAATAACAGTAATATTATGTTACAAAAAAATTAAAATTAATAAAATTTTGTAGAAATTAAAAGCAATAAAAATTAAATTAAAATCAGTGTTTTCTTCTTTTTTCTCTTTTTTTTATTATAATTTGGTAATTTTAGTACGAAAAGGCATTTTTTTTTTAAAAAAGAAAAATACTAAAAAATTAATAAAAAAAAAATTAAAATCAAAATTTTGTAAATATTCTAATCAATAAAATAAAATTAATGAATAATTAAATAAATATATATTAAAATTATCATTGACTCATTAAAGAGGACATCATTTTTGGTAGAGTGTTTATATTTTTCAATTGCAAAACTTTTAATAATAAACTGTCAATTTTCACGTGAAAATAAATAATATTTCAAATAATCAAACAAAATTAAATCTATCGTTGGAAATAATTTCCTGCAAAAAAAAAAAAAAAATTCCTATTCAGTAGAAGTAGAAAAAAAAAAATTAAAAAATAAAAATTACCAAAACATTTAAATTGAAAACATTAAAACGAAGTCATTTTTAAAAAAACGACCAAAAATTCTTTCAAAATACAAATATAATTTGTTAAATTTATTTTAAAAGAGAAATGTCATCACATTACACGAATTATGAAAATACAAATAAAATGAATTTCATAAAAAAAAAAAAATCAATAATCACCGTACATTTTCAACGGCCTATGTAAAAAAAAAAAAAATTGCACTGAAAATTTTTCCTTTAAATACAATTTATATTAGTGACAATAAATTTTCCCTAACTTCGCATTTTTGTCAATAATATCATCACAAAATATTTCTTGACCTTAACCTAATTAAAAAGGCGTACATAGAGAGAGAGATATATATATATATAGATATAGAATAAACAAATTCTACTCCCAATAACCTCTCTCAATAACATTTTTAATTTATTATAAATATCACGAAAATGAAAAATATAATTTGCAAATTTATTTTCATGCAAGAGCAGTGAATCAAACCAGTCAAACTACATTTTGACTGAATAATGAAAAATTGTCCTTGGATCGACTCCCAAGAGAATACGAAAAAAAAACCCCGAAAGAAAGCCAGAGAAAATTTCTATTTTTCATTTCATGCATTTTTTTTTTGAGTAATAAATCAAAAATTACAATTTCACTTGAGACAATGATAAAACAATAATGAGTCATTCTATATGGCTCATGGCATTTAACAATTAACGTGTCATTACACTGCGCTTGACGAAAAAAAAAAAAATTTCCAAGAATTATATGGAGAAAAAAAATGTCCCGAGACGACGAATCTTTGGAAATGAGAATTTCTGTATTTTCTCAAGTTATCTATAGAACAAGGAATATATATATATATATATATATATATATATATATAGCTATATATATCTATATATATATAATATAATGCACGGTTTTACGTTACTTCCGGCAATTTATCGGACATCACTTGGGTTTTTCCGATTTTCACTGTCATTTAGAAAAAAGCGAAACACTATCAACAACGCACAATAATTCATTAAATAAGAAACAATAAACGATGGAAAAATTGGAGTATTCCATATCATCATCTATATATGTATATATATATATAGAGAGAGAGAGATATAGATATATATATGATGATGGGAGAAAAAAGGAAGGCCAAAAAGCCAACATGATTTTTCAATGCTACCTCACATTGCTACACTGCAAAAATCGTTAAGGGCGTTCAACTTAAACATCAAACACTTGGAACACTGGATAAAATTGATTTTCAATCATTTTAAAAACACTGACCGATTATTCACGTACCTTATTAATTCGTTTTAAAGCCATTTGACGAACTGTGTTTGATATTAAACTGGCCAGAAAACCAGACAACGAGAACCCGCTAGGCAGAGATCTTTGATTAGGGATTACAAGATGGCTGCCTTCTAAACGTCGGTGTACCGCGTGACTCAAGCGACGGTTTATATTTTTCACACACAACCAAATTTATATTAAAATATGAAGTCAAGAGAACCTTTTTTTTTTTTTAGTTTCACAATTGTGATCAAATAAAATTATATATATATTGATGATAAATTTTAATTTAATAGAATGATAATTATTAAATGTTGAATGTATTTCGACATAAGGGTTATTTTTTTATTTTTGTGGTTGAAACCTTGAGCTCGCCGTTTGTGCTCGACGGATTTCCTTTTATCGACAATTGACAGATTTCTGTTGTAATACTGATAATTTAACGATAGATGGCGCGCTGCTCAGAGCGCGGGAAATTTTATTTAAATTAAAAATTTTCAAATAAAAATTAATATAAATTGGATAATGAAAAAAAATTAATTTATAAGTAATTGTAGGTAATTATTATTATCTTTCGTATGGGAATAGTAGTAGAATTTAAAATATTTAAGAAACGATAAATTATCAAATTGAAAAAAAATCAATATAATAAAATATGTAATTATGAAAAAAAAAAACGTGGGAATTATTAATTGATGGTAAATTATAAAATGTGCAAATAAAAAATAGGAAAAAATGACAATTTTACAAAAAAAAAATTTAGAAATAAAATTATTTTAATTTTTTAAATAATTTTTTTTTTTTAAAAAAGTAAAAATGTTTTTTAAATAATAATTATTTTTAGAAAATAAAATTTTTTTTTAATAATTTCTTTACAAAATAAAAAAAATTAAATTATTTCTTTATAAATAAATTTTTAAAATAAAAAAAAAATTTAATAATTTCTTTACAAAATAAAAAAATAAAAATGAAATTACCGTTATTTCCAGCACAAAAATTAAAAAATATAAATAAAACAAAAATAAAAATTCAATATAATTTTTTCATTAGGAAATATAAAATATTATGTATTAAATAAATAAATAAAAAATTTGAAGTCAAAAATTATGAATATTAAAATTAAGGTATCTTTAAAATTTCAAAAAATTGAAAATTATTTAAAATGCATTGCAGAATTAAACATTTTTTTAATTTTTTAGTTTTTCAGTTTCAAAAAAAAAAAAAAAAAAATTCGTTACACATTTTTTGTAAAATATAATGAGTAGGCAAAAAATTATTATTAGAAATATAAGAAAATAAATTTTTTAAATAATTGAAAAATTTCGAAAGTTTTTTAAAATTGTCAAAATAAAATATTAACTGTCATTTTAAAAAAAAATTGTCGTTCATAACCTTTTTTTAAAAATTCAGTTATTGTTTTTTACTGAAAAAAATGTTTCATACAAAAAATAAATAGAAATTTAATAAAAAATGATTGATTAAAAAAAATTTAACATTATTTATACGAAATGTATGAATTATTAATCATCTCAAAAATGGTGCAAAATTTGAATTTAATTAAAAAAAAAAATCAGTTCAGTTGTCAAAATTATATAATTTTTCAATTTGACTTATAATTTTTTGAATAATAAAAAAAAATGTCCTCCAAGAAAAAGGGTAATTATAATTTTATGTAAATTCTATACAGCAGATTGAAATTTGTAAATTAATTATAGAGAAACAATTTATTATTAAATTTTAGCGTTTATATTAGAAAAATTTATTTAATATTTGGAACATTGAAAAAAAATTTTTTTTTTTTAATTCTAAAAAAAAATTAACAAGGTTATGTAGAAATTTAATTTAATTTTTAGAAACTTTGAACTAAAGCCAAAAATATGACGCATGAATTTTTGCTTTCAAATTTATAAAAAATCTCGTTAAATTATTTTTAACTTATTCCCTAGGTCAATGATTACACTAAAATGTGTTTCCTATATTTATATATTAGTTGCAACTTGCAAAATATTTTGGAAATTAACTTTTCAACAAATGTAACTAATATTTTTGAATTTTTATAGTTTATTTATTACATTTTACTGAATAAATTTTTTTTCTATTTTAAATAATTTTATTATTATTTTTATTTTTAGGTAATTCAATTTACAATTAATTAATTAATTAAAATTTTTAATTAAAATTAATTAAAGAGAGATTTAGGATTTTTTAATTTGAAAAGCTTTTTAAGAAATTTTTATAAAAGTTTTAAAAAACGTAAAAATAAATGAAACAAGTAAAAAAAATTTTTTAATGCATTTAAAAAAATATTTTTTTTATTATTTATCTTTAATTTATAAACATAAAAAAATTGTATTTTTTGTTTTTAGAGGTAAATAAATATTTCTTTCTTTCATAAAAATTTCATATTTGGTTCAAAAAAATTAAAAATTTCTTTCAAATATTTATTTATTTTTTGAATTTATTTATTTTGAAAAAAATTGTTTCTGACAAACAAAATTATAATTTTAAACAAATATATATTTATTTTTATTTTATTCAAATATATTTTTAATTCTATAAAAAAAAAATTTCTCTGATCGTAAATTTAAATATATTTATATAATTATAAAGAAAAAAAAAAGTATGTTAGTTATAAGGTAAATGAGTTTTTGAATCTAAATGCACTTTATAAGATTTAATTATAATCTAATACTAAGGCATGTGATTAAAAAATGGAAAACAGTTAATTTAAAACTTTAATATAATGAAAAAGAAAATTTTTTACAAAAAATAAATAATGTTAAAAAATTAAAATACATATATTATAAATTTTGAATTAAATGGCATTTTATAAATTTTTATTTTCAGTATTTAAACTGTGTATATATATATATGTGTTTGTGCTTATATGAACTTTCCCAGAATCTCATCAACATAATTGGTTCTCGTCCTCGCGCTAATTTAATTCACTTTCTCTTTTATTACCAGTTATTAACAATTTATATCAGGTTAATGGGTCGTTCTTTTTGTAAATTTTGCCCAAATATTTGTTTATTTTATTATATTTATTTTCTATAATACTACTATATGCATCCAGAAAGAAGATTCTTTGTTTCAAAGAACGTTTTTTTGAAACAAAGAAATTTGTGCATTGTTATCAAAGAAAAATTTCTTTGATTTAAAGAAATTATTTCTTAACTGTTTTTTTTGTTGACTCAAAGAAATATTTTTTTGATTTTACAAAATTTTTTCTTTGAATCAAAAAAATAAATTTTTACTTTAATGCACTTTAATTCAAAACACTTGGAAAATTTTTTGTTCGTAAAAAACAAAGAAAACTTTTTTAATTCAAATAAATTTCATCTTTGATTCAAAGAAATCTTTTTTTTAGGTTTATTAGAATTAATTATTATTATTATTATTATTATTATTATTATTATTATTATTATTATTATTTATTTGATCATTTATAGAAAATGAAAACTGCAATTGCGAGAAAGCTCGTGCAAAATCATCAAAACGATCATCAAAAAAATCATCAACCAATGGAAAATCAAATAGAAAAAGGCAAACATTAGTTTTTAATCCCGATGAAGAAACATATGCCGAACCTTATATGCATTCACTTAATGAAGAATTTTCAAAAATAACATTAATATGCGATTCAAAAATTGAACTACCATGGAAAGAAATAGCATTAAAATCAAAAGAAATAAAAATTCGTAATGAAATTGGAAAAAAATTCAAATCCACAAATTCAGAGACAGAATTAGAATTAAAAGAAAATGAAAAAAATAATCAACTTGTGGAAAAAGAATCAAATAATAAAATGTCATTACCGTGGAAAATGTTGATAATTTCTGATGATATAGGAAGACAGGAAAATAATATTACAACACTTGGATTAAATCAATGTGATTCAAAACTTGAAATACCATGGGATATTCTTGTTTTTAATTCATCGGTGAAAATAAATTCAACACCATTCGTTGAGGAAGAGTGCATTGAAAAAGATGTTGAAATTCCATGGAATGATTTGATGATACCGCATAATTTAATAATTGAAGCTAAAAAAATAATTCAACATCCATCTAATAAACATTCACCACGATCTACAATGGCGGGTAAACGTCGTGGGTGTTCACCGTGTATAAGAGCACGTACTAAGGAATTAAAAAAACAATCGAAATAAACAAAGAAAAAAAAAATTCTTGTTTAATATTATGTATTTATTTACTTTTTTTTTTGGTTTTTATTGAAAATTTTGTTAAACAAACATACTGTTAAGAAATTAAAAATTGAAAAATATAAAATGAAAGCAGACTTTTTTTTGTAAAGTAAAAGTAAAATTAACTTTTATCAGCAGTCGGTAAAACAGATGTCACTGTTTAAATCTGTTTTACCGATAGCTGATAAAACAGATTTTAATTTTTTTAAGTTCACCAAAAAAAACTAGTTTACTCCAGGGGTTTTTAGTGTCACTAATTACAAATCTAATATGAAATTTGTTATTAGTGACCCCGAAAATTCCCAATCAACGAGTTTGAAGTGAATGTGATCTATTTTTAAAAAATCTTTCACCACATTAAATCAACCATTTTAAATATAGCTTATATCTGATATATATATATATAATAACATCGGATTTATAATCGCAGTGATCCAAAAAAAACAATTTTAGAAATTGCATGAATTTTATCCAAATTTAAATGTAGCCGAAACTCTATTCGACATAATTATTATTTATTACAATTTTTAACAGTCCTGGGGGTCAATTACATAACTTATTCAGGATCCCACATTCCTTATTCCGGATTCCACGTTCCGTATCCAGATACCACATTTCGTTCTCTGGATTCCACATTCCGGATTCCACATTCCGCAAAATCGGGGTACAAATCACCCAGGATCCAAAATACGGAATGTTGAATCCAGAATGTGGAAAGTGAAATGCGAAATGTGGAATCCGTAATGTAAAATGTGGGATCCGGAATTTTGAAATTGGAATACGAAATGTGGGATCCAGAATTTCGAAAGTGGAATCCGGAATCCAATATATGAAATCCGGAAAAAGTTACGTAATTGACCCCCTGATTCTTATGTCTGCTGTCCAAAGTAAAAACCTAGTAAGTCGGTTTTCCGTAAGTTTGAAAGTTGATAGATCTGATCAAACGATTTTCAACCTTATTGAAAAGCGATTTAGTAGGTTTTTACTTTGAACATCAGATGTTGCCTAATATCCATTTGACACAATTAACCTAATCTTTATTTATGTCCCAATTATTATTTATGCTAATTTGTATTTAACACAATTTTTACTTTGTCCAATCTTTATCGCAGGTCTAATTCTTGTGTTCATACTTTGCGTTGATGAACAAGTGTCAAATGGACATTACCAAAAGAGATTTAGGTCTAGTGACGATTAGGTTACATGAAGATTGGGCCAAATGAGAATTATTGGTAGAGTGTAACGATTTGTCCAAATAAGTATTGGATTAAATTAAATTTTGATCAAATGGAAATTATCCCAAATATGGAGATATTTAGGACATTTGAGAATTATAGGGCAGATGAAAATGAAGACATGAATATTTATGTCAAATGTAGATTATACTCTAAATGAGAATTAGGCTAAAATCCTGGCGAATTCGGAAAACCGGATTTGAACCAAAGGTATATTATGCTGTTCGAATTTTGTCAACTTTGGTTATAATAGCAAAATTTTACTGCTAATCCATGAAATATGATAAAAAATACCATTGATACTGATTGTAATAATCATTATATAGGTGATCACTGATTATGAATAGTTTAGTTAAATCGTGCAAGAATTGAGTTAAATTAAAATCTAATTAATTGGTAATTGAGCCTCTGGAAAGTAAAACCACACATAAAATTTTGACCGCCATGCTAATTCAATGGGAGTAAGAAAGTGTAGTTTAATTTAACTTAATTCTTGCACAATTTAACTATAAACTAGTCATAATTTATCAGTATCAATCTGGTTTTTTTAAATCATACTTCATGGATTAGCAGCTAAATTTTAATCAAAAGTTAACTAAATTCGAACCACATGCATTCGGTTCTAACCCCGGTTTTTCGAATTCTCACGCAAGGAATTAAGATGATTGATAAGAAATAGGTTGAAGGGTTATAATAAAATTAAATAAAATTTACGCCAAGAAAAAATTAGGCTATATTTAAAGATTAGGCCACATAAGAATTAGACTTGATGAAGATTACACAAAATAAAAATACAGATTTGGTTAAATATATAAAGATTAGGATAAATAAGAATTGTGACAGTTATAATGATTAGGTCGAATATGAATTACATAAATGTCAAAAATTCAGATTCGGTTACATAAGAATTAGGTCAGTTAAAAATTGTAACAAACAATAATTATGCCGAATTAAATAGGTCACATATATATAAGAATCAGGTCAAGTGACGGATTGGCCTAAAATAAAAATTATGTTACAGAAAGATTATACGCAAATTTGAGAATTATCTCAAAAATAGTAATTAGGCCACACAGGATTAGATTATAAGTATAAATAAAGCTAAGGGAAAATAAGAACAGTGTAGAACAAACATATATTGGATTTCAAGGGATCGGAAAAAATATCCAAAGTAAACGAGAATCCGATATATATCCGGATAGATTTACATAAATATTTAAATCCAAAAGACTGGAATCCCCGCAGTACCTAATATTTCATCAATATTGCCTCAATAATGTCATTATTTCTGTAATGTTGCTGCAATTTTAGAATATTGAAGCAATGTTGCGAATATTGTTGCAAGTTTAGATGCTGTTTGGAATAAAATATTTGTTCTAGGCGGGAATTCGATTTTGCGAATACGAATTGGGTTCTAATTAGATTAAAAATAACCCTAATAACACAAGATATCTTGGGATATATTGATAATATTCTGCATATATCCTAGGAATGTCCTATGGATATCAAAAGGATCTCTTAAGGATATCCAAAAAATCGGCAGTTTGGATATCCCATGAATATCTGAGGATATCCACAGGATATCTTCTGGATATCTCTATAGACTTTTATAAATGTCCTCCAGAAATCCCATAGATATCGTCAGGATATCCCACAGATATCATCAGGATATCCCATAGATATCGTCAGGATATCCCACATATATTTTCAGGATATTCTCAGTATATCTTCTGGATGTCAAGAAGATATTCTCAGGATACTGTTTTTAAAGTCATTATGAGACTACGAGTGAGAATATTCTGTGAATTAAATTTTATATAAATAAAATAAAATGCAACTTGTTTTTCGAGAAAGTTGTTTAATTTGAACAATTATTAACTAATTTTTTTCTCATTCGTGATTCATTCCTTTATTCATATGCTTAATATTGTCACAAAATAAATTGGCTTTAAACAATATAAATTCTTCCCCGCAAATAACGAATAACTATTAATATTAATTATACATTAAGTGCATGAGTTTATTTAAAAACTTTGAAAAATGCGTTTCAAATCTTCATTTAAAATAAATTAGAAGCTCATAAGATTTTTGTTTTTATTATATTATTATTCATTATATTAGCTTAACAATTTTAACCTTTAAAAATATATGTTGAGATATTAAATATCCCGTGAATATTCTAAGAATATCCCACGGACATCCTGAGGATATCCCATGGATATCCTGCGATATAATATCCAATAGATATTTTGTGGATGTCTTAGGGATATCCTGTGGATATCCTATGGATGTCCTGTTGATATCCCACAGATCGGCGGTTTGGATATCCCAAGATATCCTGGGGACCATTCTAGGATATCGACCATTGATATGGATATCCTATGGATATCCTTTTGTTATGAAGGTAATTAGATTAAAAATAAATTAGACTAAGTGAGAATTGGATCATATGATAATTATAATAATCGAATTTAGGCAAATTATACATTGGACACATTTATAAATTTGATGAAAATTCATCCGTCTTTAGCAACATCTTTTTGGTATACGTATTTTTTGAGCCCACTGAGTTTTTATAACACAACCTCAACAACCGAGTTCTTCACTGAAGAGTTTCACATAAGAGTTGAACAATAATCTACAAGAGGGAACCAGTATCGTCATCCATAACAGTGTGTGTGCCTACCTTGGTGATTGTCTGTGTGTGCTATGTCGTCACGCATATCTTGCAAACATGCAATCGGCCACCCGTCGACAGTCGGCATTTGCCAGTAGACGCGAATGGTAGTTCGTGTTGTATGCGAGTTAAGAGTGTGAGTCATGGAACTCACAATTAAAATGGCGTAGAGCCACTATAGGTACAATCATGTCGCAATCTCATTGGTGTTTCATTGAAAACATTTTAAATCAAATTATGTTTCAAGTGTCCTAATCGTTGGACATAAACGGTATCAACGATTATTTATCATCAGTGTTAATTTTCAATTGGATTAAAATTCTTTAAAAACAATGAGTGTAAACTAATGTGGTTTATGGTGTGTATATATATATATATATGTGAGGTGAGTGTGAGTGAGTGTACAGTGCGAACAATATTATGATGATAATTTTGACAGCGAATATTAAATACAACAGTTTTTGTTATATTTGAAAAAAAAATATATATATAATTTTATCCTAATGGTATAGAAAGTTTAATGATTTGAGATTATTTTCGGATAATTTTTATTTTCTTTTTTTTTTTGGGCGCGATCACCTAGTTGGAAATAAATCTGCCTCTCATGACAGCTTGACGATCTTGCAATGAGTCAAGATGGCGCCACCGGCCTTTTGACATATCCACTTGATCATCAGCTGGATTTCACAGCCTTTCTGGATTATTTTTGATATATTATGAGCAGAGAATTTTACGTACCCTGCACGCCTTACGCATATTCGGTGAGTATATCTAACCTTCTTTATTGATTTTAGTTGCGGGAGTTTTTTTTTTTAAATATAGACTTATTCTTCTTTTTCTATATACTTTATACAGTAAGTTTATAGATATATATATAATGTACTTCAATTTGAAGGCCTCTCAAGGTTGGTTGCTTTTCTCTTTCAAAGATAGTCAAATATATGTATTATTCACTGTATTTTTGAAGAATAGAAGACTTATTAATGAATGGCCTAAAAAGATAATTGTTTTTAGTGAATTATGTATAATTACAGACATTAAAAGGATGACAATGCATTAGAGTTAGTTTATAAGTTGTCAGAAAAAAAAATCTAATTTTATAGTAATACGAGCGTTAAAATACGTTTGGGAAATGATTTTGGATTTAGAAACCATTAGGAACTTTAAATATCTAGAGTACTGTTGGATATGCGACATATTCTTAGGTTCTTAAAAAACACAATATCTTGGGAATTTTTATATTTTCCAAGTTCCTTTGATGTCTGCAATATATTGAATAAAAGACATGGTAATTATTCCAGTTTTGTTTTGCTTGTTATACTAAACAAAGCGCACAAATGACGTATTCCGCATTATTTAATTTGAATTGTAATCACACATGTTTGAACTACGTGTTAATTTTGCAATTAGTTAATCAACAAACTACATTTTTACAATTCAAGAATAATATATGTGAAAAAATTCATTACACATTGGTCGCACAGAATCGAAATTAGAATATTCGTTTCGAAGAATTCGATTTCCTTTCAGAATTGGTTTTATTGTCATCTTGAATGTCAGTCACCAGATGTGTGAAACAGAATTTTAGAATTTTCAAGTATACACCAGATGTGAAATATAGAAGAGATTTATGTCATCAGAGATTTTATGACAAAAATATACACCCATCTTAAAACACAGCATTTGTTAATAATAACGAAACAAAACAAAATTATATACCTTACGAAACATTTGTAAATTGACGTGAAATAAAACTAGTTATCTAAGCTTATTTTTTGTGTTGTAATATTTTGCAAAAAAAAAAAAATATTTTTCTAAGGAGAAATATTTATTTTATAAAATTTCAACAGAAAAAATAAAGATAATAGTAGATTTTTATCTGCTTTTATGTTCGCTAAAAATTTTAAGACAACATTTTTATTTCTACTTATAACCGATTGAGGCACAATTACAGAAAGCAAAACAAAATTTATTATGGTTAAAGAAGAAATGTTTCTGGATTTCCTAATATGAAAAGCTATCTTTGATGTTTGAGTATAAGATATTCTAAAATATCTGGATTATTGTGAGGGAAATCTGATGAAGCAAAGGAAAGCAAATCTATAGATAAGAATAAGTTTTAAGTTTCTTTGAGTAAAAACTATATAGGTATACTCATAGAATTATCTTATATCCTGTAACGTAAATAATCGATTTGATTATTTGCATATTGAATTATTTTGCATAAGACAGTTACAAATATTTCTTCAAAGATATATGTTCTATATATCATCGTACCAGTGACAATTTTATTTTCTAATTTCCAACAAATATCAAAATTCCTGAAAAGACTATTGACAGATTATATATCACTAGTACGTTCCTAGAATTTACCTTGAGAAATTTTGCAAAAACCCTATTACAACTGTTAAGATAATCTTACAATTAAACTATGATAGTAAGGAAATGCCGACGTGGAAAAATTTCTACGAAATTCTAATGGGAAATTACGATTATTTTATTTGAGAAGTTAAAAAAATTATTTCTTCATTTAACAAAATAATTTTCTTGACAATCAAGAGTCTTTTCAATCATCATCCTTGAGGACTTTATTTGTTTCTTTGACAAACCAAAATCATCCGGATGACAAAGAGTCAATGAAACATCAATCCTCGAGGTATTTTTATTCCTTTTGACAAACCAAGCCATCAGAGTGATAAAACCCCCACAGCACCGAAACTTTTCTAAGGATTTCCTAAAGATTTATTTGAATTCTTCGGAATATTTAATTGCAATGTTTAGTAAAAATTGTGTAAAGATTTAAATGTCCCGATTAAATAAATGTTTAGTGTGAAACTTTATGAAACTTTCATTTAAATGTTCAGGAAAGTTTTGTCCTAAACATTTATTCAAGTGGGACATTTAAATCTTTACACAATTTTCACTAAACATTGCAATTAAATATTCCGAACATTTTAAATAAATCTTTAGGAAATCTTTAGGAAAGTTTCGGTGCTGTGGGGGAATTCATCATCCTGGTAACCAGAAGTCAGTGGAACATCATTTTGGAGGATTTTTTTTTGACAAATCAAGTCATCAGGGTGATAAAACTCATATCCGGATGACTTGGTTTATCAAAAAGATCAAAACATCCTCAAGGATGAATTTCCTCTGACTCCTGATCATCAGGAAAATTGTTTGTTGAATGAAAAAATAATTTTCTCAACTTTTCAAATAAAATAATCAGAGTTTCCCATTTAAATTTCGAAAAATTGTTTGTTGAATGAAAAAATAATTTTCTCAACTTTTCAAATAAAATAATCAGAGTTTCCCATTTAAATTTCGAATTGGTATTTCACAGAAATTTTTCCACGTGGGTGATTTAATTTTAAATGATTTCTTTATTTATGTTACAATAAGAAAAATATGCTTTTGCATCTAAAGCATGAAAATTATTAATTCATCAAAAATAGTCATTTATTTTAACAATTTTTAAATTTAGCGCCACTATCTATAATTTTGTGTTATATAATTGGCACTTGTACTTTTGTCAATTCACAAGATTCCTAACCTAAAAATTTAATATAAATTTCTTTGTCCCCTTTGTCATTACTAAAAATTAACATAAACGCTAATTACTCTTCTTTAATCAAAAAATAAATTCCGGTGGAATTTTCATATAAATAATTAAGTCACGTTAATGGATTATTCTTTTTAATTATAATTTTCGGCATCTGTTATTTTTTTGTACCTAATTTTTTTTTTCTCCTAAATTCTTGTAAATTATGCAAAAATATTTTCCCTACCTTTCAATTCGATGAAATAAATTTAATGATATAAAAATATATGTCTACTGAACTGAAAACGATATAGCCTATTTATATTATGTGACAGAATAAAAAATTACCGATACTTTGTTTTCTCTTAAGCTCTGTATACAGTTAATCTTCGTTTGTTTAAAATGAAATTTCTTTTTTTTTCTCTCTCTCTCTTCAAAAATATTCTAGACGTTAAATTTTGTAAGATTAATTTGTCATAGGTTGAAACTTTTAAACAGATGATCATTAATTTTGATTATAATAGAAAACTAGACTGTAATAAGACAGAATAAGAGAAGTAGAATTTATCGTTTGTAAATTTATATTGGAATAATCATTCAAACGAAACGTTAGACACGTTCGACGATTTTAGTTCTTTGCTCCAAGGAAAGTCCAATCTTACCTCAACGACGACGACGACGACGATGACCGTTATTTAACTTGCTTATAACTGACAAGATTTCTGTATAATAAACTCTTTATTATTGTAAATTTAAGTGTATATATTGCCACAATGCCTAGCAATACTTATTGATGCTATTTTCTTTTGATAGATTTATTTATTTCCTGAATACGATAAAAATAAATTTCAATGCTGACAGGGAGAATTAACTATCATTTTAACGAACCGCGAGTTATTACGTATTTAAAATGAAAATTCATTTTTTAATATATTTTTTTTTTAAATTAAAAATTGGAAAATTTTTTTATCTAAAAATTTATTTTTATACATTGGCAGTGAATGATAAAAATATTCGCGGAGGGAAAACAATGTTAAAGTTTTTTTTTTTTTTTTTTAAATGCTAGTCTTTCAACTTTTCATGGTTACGTTGAAACGGTAGCTTTAATAATCGTAGCCAATGAGTAATCGAGTCTCCACAACAGAATTGAGAAAAACATTTCCTCAGACCTCATCCGCACGAACTGTCATTTCCGGTATAAGGTTGAAATGGTCGATAAAAGCGAAAAAAAGAAAATTAGTTCCAGTTTACAAAAAGTACGTAGAATGAAAAATTTTCACAAATAAAAACAATTATTTCTTTTTTTGCATAAACTTTTAATTGCTATTGTCAATTTTTTTGTTTGGTTGATTTCATTTTATAACCTCTTTAACATATTTGTAAATTAATTTCAAAAACACTTTTTTTTTCCCTCTTATCCCCCTAATTCTTTAAATGACAATTATTTTTAATTGCTTTGGTATATATAAAAAAAGACTTTCAAAAATTTATCGATGTTTCGGAAAAGACTCATAAAAAATATTGACGATGACTCGTAAAGTGATTTTCTTAACAATTTTCTTGGTATTTGTTTTTTGATTAGATATTTTTATATATTATATCTGTTTCGATATACTTTTTAACAGATTAAAATATGATTCTATTTATTTTTGTTTCGTGTTTAAAAAGCGGGAAGGGAAAATTGTGAGTTATTTCAGTTTTAAAACCAATCATTCTTTAGCTGTCATAACAAACAGATAAAATTCCAACTACCTAATGTCGGACAACATCTAAGATCTTTACTTAAATGGAGATACTCAAAAAGAACAAAGGCCAAGGAAGAATTGACCATTTTTACAATGACGGAAGCCTCTTTTATTATTCCGGAAATAACGAGGGAAATTTTGGAGCGCGTTTTACTTGGTATACTTATAATTATAATGATAAATTTTTTTTTTTAATTTTTGCCATTTGATTCAAATATTTTTAAAACAAATTTTAACTTATTTAAAAAAATGAGTCCAGATTTTATTTAACTGATTAAGAACTCCTAATGCTTTACACTTGAAAAAAAAAATGCTTATGTGTGACTTTGGCTCTTATTGCATATTTTAAATTCAATTATGAATATTAAGATTACAAGACTAGACTTATTGATTAGGGACAAGATGTAGCGCAAGGTAATGTCCGCGCGCTGTTCGTGCGCTTCGACATACCGTTACAATTTATTTTAATTCATCGATGAAAGTGGCACGATACGGCATATAGTCCGAAATGCCTTGTCGGACAGCAAAAATTCTTTTCAACTTGGCTAGACATGGAGCTCGCGAGATGAAGCAATCTTCTCTTAATGAATTTTCCCAATATGAAATATATATATATTTATATCTGTATGTGTGGTTTTTTTTTTTCTTTGTAGAAATTGCCAAGTTGAATGATGAAGAAAACGAAATCCAATTTCAGACAACGGATAATCCAATGATGAATTCACGAAGTAAACTTACTTTTGAAAAATGGCGTTTCACATCAGAATTTATTCCCTCCATTGGTAACGAACCCTCCATGTCATCCACTTCATCGTCCCTTCCTCGTCTGTCCACAAGTATCTACTTCTTTTTTTTGTATATATATATAAGTGTATTACTTTACAAAAGAGTCTAATGGCGCTCAATATATTTATGTTGCCAGAAAGAAGTTTTTGTTATTTTAATAAAAACTTCTTTTCTTTGACTGATGCAATTTATTAAGCAAGAAAAATGATTTCTTTGATATTTTTGTTTTAAATCAAGAAGTTTCTTTTTTTTAGAAGATATTTTCTTTAAATTATCCCTATACAGCACCGAAACTTTCCTAAAGATTTATTTGAAATGTTCGGAATATTTCAAATGAATCTTTAGGAAATCTTTAGGAAAGTTTCGATGCTGTGAGGGTAATAAAAATTACAAATAAAAATTTTCATTCCGATTTCTTGTATAACAAAAGAAACAATTGATTCTACATGCAGGATTTCTTTATTAGTAATAATTTTTCTGAATTAAACAATAATAGTTATAGAAGAAATTTTTTTAAAATGTAACAAAAAGTTTATTTTGGTTTTCTACATATTGGATATAAAATTAATTGGAAATATACTCCTAAATAGTCTTTGTTGATAGAGAATGAAATAGATGAGTGGAAAACTTATATTTATTGATTTACATGCTCAACTATAAAAATTCACATGATTTCTTTTTTATAATGAAAATTTGTAATATAAATATATACGTATATATATATACCGATAAATTACCACGAGAAAAGCCATATTAGAATCATAAATATTTTAATGAGAGCTAAATTCCATCGTTGCCTCCTCATCATTAAAGTTTCTCTAATAAAGTTTTAATTAATTGTATAGATTAGAGTGACCTCAATAATATAGAAGAATATAATAATGAAATTCATTTTTTAAAAAAAGCCTTTTTATGGAAAAAAATCGTTTACATTATATGCAATATATATTAAAATAATTATTACATGCAAAGATAGCCCAGTATTTAACCGAATAATACTTTTTTTCTTCTGCTGGAAACAACACGCTAATTACAATGTTAATATAAAATGTGTTCTTTTAAATTTTTTAAACTTTTTATGACTTGCGCTTTTTTTCTGGCAAAATAGTCACTCGCAAATATAGCCCAGTATTTAACCAAATAATACTTTTTTTCTTCTGCTGGAAAAAACACGCTAATTACAATGTCAGTATAAAATGTGTTTTTTTTAATTCTTAAAAATATTTCATATCTTTTGCTTTTTTTTGGCTAAATAGTCATTTTCAAATATAGCACAGTATTTAACCGAATAATACATTTTTTTCTTCTCCTGGAAATAGTATACTGATTATGATTCTGATACAATGTCAATATAAAATGTGTGTTTTTTTTAATTTTCGAAAATTTTTTATTACTTTCGCTTTCTTTTTGGTTAAATAGTCACTTTCAAATATAGCACAGTATTTAACCGAATAATACATTTTTTTCTTCTGCTAGAAAAAAGTACACTGATTATGATTCTGATACAATGTCAATATAAAATGTGTTTTTTTTTAATTTTCGAAAATTTTTGACGACTTTCGTTTTTTTCTGGCAAAATAGTCACTTCAAAACATAGCCCAGTATTAAACCGAATAATACATTTTTTTCTTCTGCTAGAAAAAAGTAAAATATGATTACAATTTTGATGCGAGTTTTTCAAAATAGATTTTAAAATAACATTTCATTATCGATAATTATTTTGATTATTATAACGTTATTTTTGACCTGATTCAATTTCTAGTCTAATTTTGATCTTTTTATTATTAGTATTAGAGATATTATTATTTTTTTTTTATTTTTATTAATATTAATATAATTTTATTTTTTTTATTATTATTATTATTTTATTTTCTAAGGTGAAACTCAAATTGAACATAGATCTGAAGCGAGTGCGATCAACGCCTCATCATCGAACCTATCTGCTTTTCCATCAAACACTTTTGAGAATACTACTCCAGGTGTAAACCTCGGAAATTTCATCAGCGATCCCATCATTTATCATTATAATGTCGAATATCTCCTAGCTATCAATTCTATGGGATACAACATTTTACCTACATTGTATGATCTTTCAAAATACTTATTTTACATTTATTTTTAGAATTTTACATATATCAGAAAATACCTCATTTCAAAAATTTTCATAATTTTTTCATTCCCTAATTAATTGAGTACGTTAAAATTAAATTTTATACATCTAATGTTATTGTGTTAACATTTTCAAAAATTGAAATTTTCTACTTGGTTAGAGTGACCTTAATAGCAGAAGAATAAAATAATAAAATTCATTTTTAAAAAAAACCTTTTTATGTAAAAAAAATCGTTTACAATATATATTAAAATAATTACATGCAAAGATAGCGCAGTATTTAACCGAATAACATTTTTTTTCTTCTGATGGAAAAAAACCCGCTAATTACAATGTCTATATGAAATGTGTTTTTTTTTAATTTATAAAATATTTCATATCTTTTGCTTTTTTGGAAAAATAGTCGTTTTTAAATATAGCCCAGTATTTAACCGAATAATTTTTTTTTATTAGAAAATACCTCACTACAAAAATTTTCATAACTTTTTCAATCCCTAATTGATCAAAAACGTGAAAATTAAATTTTATGCATCGAATGTTTTTGTTAACTTTTCTAAAAATGCATTACTGCAGTAGTATAATCAAACTGATTATTCAGTTATAATTTAAAGAAAGAATATTTTATAAAATGATTTTATCAGATATACGGAAAAATAATTTCACTATAATAATTCTCTCTTTCAATTCACGTTAAATAAGTATATATCTCTCTCTATATATATATACATATAAAACTAAATAACTATGAACTTAGCTGAAATTGCATATTATTATGGATCGTAGATCACTGACAGGAGGACAATTTGATAGTATGAGTGCCCCTTTGTATCAAGTGAATGAATCTCAAACCGAATCTTATGGCGGAAGTTCCACATCTGGCACTATATCGGATGCCACTGATGGGTAAGCCCCATATGTGTGTTGTTATAATCTTTTAGAAACCTCTTAAGTGAAGCGGAGTTATTAATCTTGAAAATTTTATTACATAAATTTTTTATAGTAGAAAAGAAACCTTTTAAGAATTCACATATATATAGTATATATTAATATACGTAATTAAAAGAGTGACTGCACTTTTTCACTTTTTAAGTGGTTAGTTTTTAAAAAGAAAAAAAAATTATTTTTTAAATCTCCCTTCACTTAGTTTATGCAGGGCATAGTTACCTCGGGCAACAAATTTTGAAAAGCGCAAAAATTAAGAAAAGTGATTTTTATCTCTATTGTTAAAAACAAAAAAAATGTTAAGATAATTGTTAAAAATTTCCTATTCGCTTCGGGCATCATTTCATTCAAAGTATGTAATTATAAAAAAGTTAATTTCTGCTGTTCAAACTAAGTCGAAAATTTATTATGAAATTTCATTTAACGCATGATTTACTTCAGAGAGGTTTTAAGTTACATATATGGGAATTTCTCACATTTATAATGCATGTAGAACTTTAAAGTTTTCCTCTTCTTCTTCTTCTTCTTTTACATTTAAATAGAATCGTTTTTTTACTTTTTGATAATTTGCATTTATTTTATAGTTGTAAACGTGCTTATAAAAGGAAAGTTAAAAAAATATTACTAAAAGTTAATTTCGCAATATAAAAATGAAAATATCTCTAAAACTTATAGAATTTTAGAACCTTTAATAAAAGTTCAAATATAAATTAAGAAAAAAAATTTTAATAAAAAAAAGCTATTTATTTTATCATGAAGAAAATTTTAATAAAAATTTTAGCAGATTTTACCTTATTATAATAATTATGTATTCATATAACTTATAGAATTCATTGACCGTATAGTTATTGGTGCATATATTATTTGCTTATCTTATATTTATGTCTTAAATGGTATAGTTTAATTCTTAACTTGATATTTTAATATATAGAAACATTTATTAAAGAAAATAATTTATTAATAATATCTTTCGATTATATAATTTTTAAATATAAAGCTTGTCTCGTAAATGAAATTCGTTTTTCAAAATGTAAACAAATTATAATAAATTTTGCATCTAATACATATATATGATTTATTCGGGAAAAAAATCTGTTTTTCCTTCTTTGAAGGATAATTTATTTCACGATTGATTCTTTAAGAGGAAATCAATAATTGAATCATTTGAATGATGATAGTTTGGATATAAAGATTTGACCTAAATGTAAAACGATTGAGTTTAATATCCCTGATACAAATATAGGATTTCCGTTAAAACCGCACCTTGACGTAAGATTCCTCTTATCCATGAAACTTTATTTGCAATTTTCTTCGTATTTTTGCGCGTCGATAATTTATGTATATATAGTCTAGTGTTTCCGATCAATTTTTATCTCCGGATATTTGCGCTATCTGCTTGAAAAAATGAGGGAAATAATTTATATTAGTATATAAAATGTAGTTAGGTTCACAATAATTCTAACTTTAAAATTTTGTTATACGAGACCGACCGCGCGCTACAGCGCGCGGATTTTTTGTACTTTCTTTACGATTAATTAATTATTTCCTACATTAATATTAGTTAGGTTTATAGTTTAATCTGAAGTTGTTATTTATTATATTGTAGTTCCTTCATTTTTGATAATTTCAAAATATGTCGATATAATGAAAGTATTGTAAAAATAAAGAAAAGTACAATTGACAATTGCTTGAAAGAAAAATACTTAACTATGAAGTGAACAGTTAAGGATTTGAATTATATATAATAATTGAGTAATAAAGATAAACCCTCATATAAAAGTAAATATTCGCTTGGTTAGTGGAAAAAAAGGACACGTCGAATTTTCTTTGAAAAAGAGGACACGTTGCTTTTTAGTTGAAGAAAAGGACACATCGAAAATAATGTTAAAGTTAATGAAGTAAGTAACGATATGTTCATTGGGTAAATGAACAGGTAATCGGGTAACAGAATGACTTTTATTCTGTATTGGTCTTCCAAAAATTCTGTCACACGCTTCAACGGGACTTACATATCGAGTTTCAATGAAATTTCAAATTTCATCACATTCTATAGAAGTTGCACTATTGGCACTATCTGTTATTTCAATAGCAGCAGCATCATGCCCCTTATAAATATATTTATACAGATATTTTACTGATTTAATGCTAGAAACAACTTCTACATTAATATGGCAATTAAATAATTGTAATAATGTAGAGTTGTATGGGACAACGTACTGATTATCTGCTGTTCCTCTATTTGGACGATTAAAAGTTCCGTTATTGCGACGACGGTACGTCGGATATCCATTTTCATCCATTATTGTTTCTGAGCAGAATTTCTTTGGAAAACTTTTTGAACATTTACCATTTTCATCTTTACACCAGCTCCCACATGGACCATGAATCATGTTTCTCATAACAATATCATGAAGTACAGGATTTTCCGATGGATCTGGAATTTCTGCAGAAATATATTTGTCAACAATCTCTGATGTGGTTATTTTATTGTTTTGCTTTAAGTTTACTAATAAATGCATATGAGTCAATCCACGCTTTTGATACTCAACAACATACACATATGCAAGTATTTCACCAAATAATTTCTCCTTTACAATTAAATTAATCACTTCATTTTTCTTTATGTTAAAAACTCTAGAAACAATATCTGGTCTGTCAGCTGCAGTTTGATGAGGTAGTAAATTTTCCTGTATCTCACGCCAATTTGGATTACATGTCATCGTAATAAATAGATCTGGTTTCCCAAATTTTCTCACAATAGCCATCGCATCCTGATAATTTTGTAACATATTTCTTGGTGAACCTGTGAATGATGATGGAAGAATTACAATTTTACCTACCTCACTGTTCGACTCATCTGCCCTTCTTTGTAAATGATCAATTAGCCCTTTGTAACTTTCGGCACGGAGAGTTGATTGATTATTTCGACAGAAATTTGTCCTATCTTTTTCAACTTTCACATAATTATCAACAATCCATTGCTGAAATAATCGTCCACCTTTTAAAATAACATTCTCATCTCTAGACGCTATTTTAAACTTGATGTATGCAGACCGTGAAACTCGTTTATTAGAGTTAACACAAGTCATATTTTCATCCCAACCTCTCGTACCATATGGATAAAATAATGGATATATCCATGGCTCAACATTAGGGTTCATAGAACTTACATATTGTAAATTTTTATTTCCTTTATTATACAAAGTGACGTATGATTCTGGAATATCACCATCTGCAGTTGTAGTAAAAATTGCAGCAACTTCATTGACTTTTTGTATATTGTATCGTCTACTATCCATCCCAGGTTTCAATGTAAATAATAATTGCATCTCAGGCTCAATGGTTAGGTTATTTTCAGTCATTGATTTTTCCATTTCTTCATGCATCATACGGTAAGATTGTGCGAAGATATTACAATCCCGAAGAGCAGTGTCAATTGCATTAATAATATCTCGGTTTAATGTCTGAAATTGATTACATCGAATGTCTGTGGATTCGTTTTGATCCACGATAAATAATTGTCCAAATGAAGGATTGCTGTTATCTTCAGCATATATAGATGTATTCATTTGATAATAAACCTGACCATGTATTTTAAAACAATAAGGTCCAGGACGTGTATTATTAAAATCAACTAAATTTGCATTAAAGGATGCAAATGCAAATGAATTATTATAACATCGAACACGTTCATGAAAATGATTTGATAGTTCATGCGTTCCGTCAAATAAACTCTGCAATATTAATGGTGGCTTAGGTAAATCTTCCAGAATAACTTCACCATGCTTACAACAATCATTAAAAGAATTTTTTTTATTGGGCACTTGCTCTGCTTTAAAATGCTTAGCATTACAATGCTTACATAAAATGTTCATTTCACCAGAATAATGTTCCTCTATAACTGTATCTGTACAATTATTACACAGGTTTTCAATCTGAGAAAAATTCCGTTTCCTTTTTCGATAATTGCGTTGATAATCAGCTTTTTTAAAATGATATGACTGTCTTTCTTGAACAGTGTAATCAACATTTTTATTTCTTATTTCATTTGATGCAATGGACACATAATTCTCAGTGCTTGATGAAGTTGAAGGCAAGCTTTGAGAAAGAATATTTACAAATTGATCTGTACATGGATCGCTGTTTGAATCCAATTCTTTATGTTTAACATCACTCTTTTCATAAAAGCTGTCGACTTTTATTTTTTTTAATGTACTTGATGCAACAGATACAACATTATCAATGCTTAATGATGTTGAAGGCATACTATCGACTTCTATACGAACATTATTATTAGAATTATTTGAAATATTTTTAACATTATCATTTACTTTTTGACGGTATCTTCTTTGAGAATCTGCTTTTCTTTGAAGTTTTAAAACTTGGTACTGTTCTTCTTCTGAAGAAGAACGTAGTGCTCGTCTTTTTGACCCAGTTAGAATGGAAATATTTGGTGCAATAGATACAACGTTATCAATATTTAATGATGTTGAAGGCATACTGTCGACTTCTATACGAACATTATTATTAGAATTATTTGAAATATTTTTAACATTATCATTTACTTTTTGACGGTATCTTCTTTGAGAATCTGCTTTTCTTTGAAGTTTTAAAAGTTGGTATTGTTCTTCTTCCGAAGGAGAACGTACTGCACGTCTTTTTGGCATGATTAGATTGGAAAATTTAATTTACATTCCATAAAATTTATAACCTATTACAAATTTATAGAAAATGTAAACACTTTGTTTTCAAGCTTATAAAACAAAGAATCTCATGCGTTTTAACTGAAAAGTTTGATATATTTGCAAGATATTTTGTAGCTAATGTAAAGATATAATGTATAAATAATGTAGATATCTATCAATACGATTTAATATATATATTTTTAAATTTTACGATATCTGTGTATTTGTCTGTGTATATCTGTCATATCTGTTTTTATCTTTTTATCTTATGTGAAA